CTTTCCCTCCTCCCCCCCGCCCCCACTTGGTCGATTCTTCGTTTTCTCTCTACCTTCTTTCTATTCGGTTTTCTTCTTCTTTTATTTTCCCTCTCCCATCAATCAAATTCATATTTGAAAAAAATTAACAACTATCACAATGGGTGTCACCAAGACCGTTATCTCCCCTGGCAACGGCCAGCAGTTCCCCCAGAAGGGCGATCAGATCTCCATGCACTACACTGGTTGTCTGTATGATGAGAACGCTCCTAACAAGATGGGCAAGCAGTACGGTTTCCCCCCCCCTCCTCCCCTCTTTTCAAATCTCTGTCCTTCCTATCAGATGTTCAAAAGTGGGTGGCTGTACTATACCGAATAGCCATTCTAAATGGACAAAAGAAAGAGAACGGAGGGAAAGTAAACTGACATCATACTAACTATTTTAATCACAGGTTCGACAGCTCCCGTGGTCGCGGTCCCTTCAAGACTGCCATCGGTGTTGGTCGTCTCATTAAGGGTATGTTGATTCCTTTCTTTCTTTCTATCTCATATTATATTTTATATGTCAATATGTTTGAAATGACTAAACTAATTAAATGTCCAGGCTGGGACGAGGCTGTCCCCCAGATGAGCGTTGGCGAGAAGGCCATCCTGACCATTACTCCGTGAGTTAGACCCATCCACTGTGAAAAAAAGTATCATAATATGAGCTATTCTCTAATTACTCATGTACAGTGACTACGGCTACGGCGCTCAGGGTTTCCCCGGCTTGATCCCTCCCCAGTCGACGCTGGTTTTGTAAGTTATCCTCCTCCTCCTTCCTCTTCTAATATTCTTTGCCAGTGAAAAAATGGATTGGAATGCTGATATCAATTAGCGAGGTTGAGCTGCTCGGCATCAACTAAACCAGCTATACTACTATGGTATAGTATACTGGCTTAGTGGCGGGAAATATGAATGAATAAAAACGGCGGCTCTTTGTCGATTTGATATACTAACTAGATCAATACAATCGATCAGTCGAAGTAATCAATCAGTAGACTTTCTTCTAGTCTTGATTATAGTAACATTACAGTAGTAGTAAATAGTATATAGTATCTAACCATCCTTGATATAGTACTACTATCTACTTTTCACCCACACCCTCCTATATACATATAGTAGTACTACTTAGCAGCAACTTACCGCACAATTGTATTAATATAATCAATCCCCCCCGTCCTAAAAGTATCCTTCTCCACATAACTTCCATCCCTCGGTAGCCGGAACACAAAGTCCCTCGGATCAGTGAGGTTGTATTTCGGCCAGTGGGGGATACCAGAGACTGTCACCCTCATTAGAACCACACGCTTCATTTCACAATTCTAATAAGATGGAGAAGAGGAACGTACCACCATGCCCATTCGGATCCAAATCCGTCACAAAAGCCGTCCACATCCTCGCGGCCAGATTACCCAACTCCAGTCTTGCGGGATCACTTCCCAACGGAGTGATGTTCTGCACAGGGTTGGCGAAAACAAACGGGATCTATGCATGCACGCAGTAACACATCATTAGCATACCAAATATCATACCGCAGGGAAAACCAATAATAGGGGATGGATGGATGGCATTACCTCAGCAAAATGCGCCACCCCAATCGTACTCGAATCATTCAACGCAGCGACATCCCACCGATACGCAAACACTTGCTCCTCATACTCCTTCATCTTCTGACTGAGCAACCTCCTCGGAGCAACCATGCACAGATCGCCCGCCATCGACTCGTAGCGCTTATATTCATACCCCAGCTTCGGCCAGGTCGTGTTGCCCCATCCGTAGGGACAGCCTAGGGCGGAGATGTTGGGATAGTGCGATAGGAGGGTCGTGGCTTGGGTTTCGTTTAGGACCCAGCGTTTGGATGCTATCATTTTCATTTCACCTTAGTATCTCGTACTATATATATATCTTGGGGATTGGTGGGAAGGGGGGGGGGGGGGGGCTCACCCATCAACTGCTGGATCGCTTCGGCATCAGTGTTCACGCCCGTCGTACCGAAACTCACGCCCTCGTCGGTGTTGGTGCCATGGAGGATGGGGACCTTGGCGAAGCGGCCCTCCGTAATGCTGATTTGGGGATATTCTTTGATGAAGGTGCCGTCGATGGTGGCGAACCATTCCAGGCCGATGTCTGCGGCGGTGTAGATCGTTGAGAAGGGGACTTCGCGGAGGCATTGAAGGGTGTTGCTTGAGGTGGTGCAGCTTTCATGTAGTTAGTATATATACTAGTCATTTGAGTATTGTCTTTTGGGGAAGGTGAGGACATACTTGGTTGCGTTCACGATCTGGTCGTACATCGGCTGGTACCAGTCCGTGCCGTTGTAGGGGGGTCCGACTGCGTTGCCGGATTCCATGATGGCTATGCTGGTTAGCAGATGAGGAGACGAGAATTGGGGAGTGGTGTGCATACCGGCTCTGAATAGACCCTCGTTGTCACCGTCGTTGGTGACCAGGTGGGCTCCGACGCTGTAGGCACCACTGTGCCATGTCAGGCGCTGTATATCGAATGCTATTAGGGTATAATCTCACGCTGATTCTCCCCAGATGGTGATCTTGTCCGGGTCACCACCAAACGCCTTGATGTTTTGTTTGACCCAATGCATGGCGACGCGCTGATCACGAAGTCCTAGGTTCGTGTTGCCGGATTCCTACAGATGTCATGTCAGCTGAAACCCATATACTTGACGGTGAAGGAAGAAACGCACCATAACCTCGACAGAGTCAAGGAATCCAAACGCAGCCACACGGTAATTGATCGAGACACCCAAGACAGGCTTATCATTCAACGCACCCTGGCGAACAATATAGCTCATATTGTACCTTGCACATCGTCAGCATCAACCCCACACAGCACAGCACAAAACTATAGTATCCTACCTCGGATCAGCAGTCGCACCCTGCACCCAACCACCACCAAAGATCCAAATCATCACAGGCAACAACTCATCCTCTTTCTCTCTCTTGGGCCGAATTATATTCAGGTTCATACAGTTCTCATCGAACCGCGCATATCCTTCCTCCGCCAGCTCCGTCTCATCGGATCCATACCCGGGGCAATCATACCCATACTCTGTGGCGTTGTAGAGCACGGTCCCCGAGGAAGTCTGCAGTCCGGATGCTGTGGAAGCATGATACACCCCGTTGTCGCTGTCATTGGCGCGATAGACGGTTTTCAACGTCGACGGGGTGAATCGCACGGGCTCATCAGCAAACTTGATACCCAGGAACAACTCCTGCTCGAACTCGGGCAGGGAACGGCCGATGAAGACGGTGTTGTTGAGGGTGGCTGTTGGGATTGAGGAGGTGTTGTTTCCTGCGTCTGCTCTCTTGATGGTAGGGGTATTACTGGTGTCTAGAGTTGAGGCTAGGGTGCTGCCACCCAGCAGGGAGAGCCAGAGGAGTGCGCTCGCCATGGCTACTAAGTTGCTGGTTCTGTTAACTTAGTCACCGGAGAATATGCAGCCAGCCAGCTACGAGACGAAGTGAGGACCTTTATCAGGGAGCTAGGAGTGGCAACGAGCAGCTGAATTCAGTCTAATTCTCCGACACAGAGAACACATGACTCAGGGATTGAGACTCGCAATCATAATTGATTAACGCCGAGCTGAGCTAGTCTTACTTTTGACATGGACGTGGGGCGTCCATGGTATTGAGGAGGATGGCGATGTCTATCAGTTGGATTGATGTCATTTGGAAAGTACGAATGGTTAACATCTCCGAAGAAACAACAGAGTCAAGCTTGATTGCTTCAGGGATGGATGTATTATGCGGGGATGATGTTGGGGTGCATGCAGCAGCAGTCGTGGCTTTGCAGCATGTTTGATGCAGTTTATAGGTGGAAAGTTGGTGATGAGGAGCCAAGACGCGGCGGGAGGTCCTAGTGAGGAGCTAAGGGCTTAGTTTCTCCGGCGGGAAAGAGACCCTGGATGTACCCTGGCTGTGGGGTGGTTGTGGATGATTATGGACTCGGGCTTAAATTGAATAAGTTGTGGTTTGTCTCGGATATAGAGCATGAGTGGACGATTGAGTGGGGATGATGATCAACTGACTTTGCAGTGCACAAGGAGGATAGGACAGACTATACACAGTATATTATTCTCGCCCATCGCCATTCTCACCCTTCGGCGCCATCAGGGTATAAGGGATGGCCGATGAGGATGAGGATGGAGACACGCATTGCTCTAGTTATATCGACCACCATGCCACCGGCACTCTCTTCTAAGTACAGAAAACCAAGATAAACACAAGATCCCTAACACCAAGCAGTCAGTCGGCCACATCAATTATAGTCATAAGACGACACGCATCCCCGGCGCGCCGTGCTATGCTTCAAAGTGCACGCGTAGTTGGTATCGCCCAAAGTTAAATACCTGCCCAACATGCAGCCACCACTGCAGTCGGGCTAAAGAGCACAAATAAGTATTATGAAACAACAAATCAAGGAGCAAGCTTCCGGTGCACGTAGATAGCGCGCTCGGATCGTAATTGCCCGTCAATCATCTTTCGCCCTGTCCCCCCCAGAACGAGTCCGGCTCGTCCCAGGTGAAGGGCTGAGGAAACGTCCCCGCAACGCTGTTCCTTCGTGAAGGCTTGACCCCGACCGTAGCAAATCGGGTCTCCACCGAGGCTCGGAGATCGCATTCGACGAGCTGCGAGACTCCAACCCATCGTTCAGCTCGATGAGATCGCCGTTGCCGCGTCGCCCCATGGCCTGTGCGGGGTCATGGGTTGCCGGGCCTTGCGTCTGTTGCAGTTCATTCAAGCTGGCCTTGGCTCGGGTCGTCATCTTCCTGACCCAGGACTCTACTGCTCCGCCAAGGTTGTCCAGACTGGTTGGGGTGTTCGCGGCCGCGGTCGACGCACTTTCCGACGAACTTTCAAAATCCGGTGGGCGTGCCACGGGCGCAAGATTTGGCAAATGCTGGGCAAAGAATTTGCTAAGTCCGTCCATGGCGGGGCCTGGCGCATTTGAATCATGGTCGAGAGTGCCAACGCCAGGTCCCGACAATTGGATGTTGCTGCGCTGGCGTTGATGGCGAATGCCCGGCCTGCCCTTAGAAGAGGTACGTGATGCAGACGAATCAGCATGCGGGCGAGCCCATGGAGGAATAACTGGCTGCGTCGATGCCGACTCGATTGGCGAAGGCGACGAAGGAGCGGTTGTGCCTCCCCGGCCTGACAATGGAGACGACACCGAGTCCGAATAAGAAACGGATTTCCGTCGCGTTCGTGGGAAGAAACCCAACGCTCTCCGCGGGACGCGGCCGATTTCAACCGGCCCAGGAAAGCCCTCGATACGCACCCATGACTCGTGCTTCCAGATTCGGTCACCTTCGATCTCCGCTGCAGGAGATGCAGATGTTGCTCCCTCGGCAGACGTAGGCGCTGAAGTAGGCGCTATCGAGCTGCCGTTCATATCTTCCAAAGACTCGCGTTCCTGATGATCATCTCCTAGCAGATCCTCTCCCATCTTAGGCCGGATTGGCCGTCCTTTGATCGAGCAGGAATCAACCGGCAGCAGGACGGTTTTTCGGCCCTGAATGCTATCGCTGGGCCAGAAGCCGTTGGCCTTTCGGAATACCGCAGGCTGGCACCCATATCGTATCGTAACACCGGTAATGGTATCTGTGGATTGTACATGATGTATATAAGCTAAGGCGTCCTCGTCGAGGTCAGGGTCAATATTCGAATGACCCGTCCGATCGCTGGAATCCCGCCGTTTGTGTCGTGGGGTTGTACTCCATGCCGGACCCGTGTCTGCCAATAACAGGGCTTCCCTTTTCTTTGCCTGTACTAGTGCCTGTCTCTCTTCCTGGGTTCCGCTTCCAATCTCCGGTGTAGACGGGGCCGAGGGACCCCAGGTTGCTGGTGTCGACGTTCGTGCAGGGGGTCTCATATAAGGATCTGGGCGGGAAGGTTTCCTCACATGCCCCCTAGCACTTCCGTTGGTAGTTGCCGGCCGTGCAATATCGCTTCCTAGTACTGACGAGGCTAGACTCTGAAGCGAGGTCCATGATGCATCAAAAAAGTCTACAGCGGCTCGCGACGACTCAGCAAACATTATTCCACTTTCCTCCTCACGGCAGAACCCACCTAAGGAGCTGTTTCCTTTGCTACGGTTGGCAGCTTCGGTTGCTCGAGAGGGATGTCTCATGGGTATGGGGGACACTCCGCGGGACGGGTTAGGTGAAGGTGTAGCACCGCGGGAGCGAACAGCGGAGTTATCGGGGGATAACATCGACGACAACCCGGAGGACTGCATTTGTTTGCCATTCTCGTCGACTTCATCCTCTGTGAATGATATCAGACGGCGGTTGCGCGATCGAATGGTCGAGGTGGATCTTCGGCCGGTATTTGTCGTGCTCGCGGTCCCAAGGCTAAAGAGGTCGGCAAAGCCGCCGTTGGAACTCATCCCTGGCGACTAAGGGGGGGCGATAAGATAGATTTAAGGAGGGGCGGGAGTCGTCAGGTCACCGGCAGAAGCTCAGCGTTGTGTGTGAGATCGCCCAGGCACAAATTGCCATCGGAGGTCTCTACGACAGACCATTCGTCATCCGGGCGCTGTAGTTATCGCATCCGTGTCCTGAAGCTCGGAGCTAGCACGGGATCTAGGGAGCGGCGATATCACCAGTGTTTCGAGTAGATGAACCGGGGTAGAAGTCCAGCCGCAGGATTGTCCGACTCTGAACCCAGGGGATGGATGACCACGAACTGAGGCGGGTAGGGGGGGGGGGGGGGGAGGTTGGGGTGGGAGGAAGTGTGGGAGGAGACGCGGGATAAGGAAGAGGAAGAAGTATGGAGTTTAGCCTCCTGTGATGACGACTCAAGTCGGCAGATCAGACGTCGGCAGGGCGGGGTGGCTGTCTCATACTCTGCCCGGCGGAACAAGGTGAAAGAAAGCAATCGGGGATTTTTGGCGCTTGCGGATAATTCAGCGGGCAACTGCAGCGATTGAAAAGAAGAAGAAGAAGAGTTTGGTGGGCAATGCTTTTGATCGGCAAGATGCCTTCCCAGCTGAAGCGGTGCCCTGAAGTCCATCGCTGAGGCCCGTAATTTGCTCTCTTGACGTCGGCCGGTGGCGTCCCGATACGCCCAGAGTACCGTATGGCAATACCACCTCCACGGATCGGCAGCGTTTGCCTTGAAACTTGGCTTGATTACTGGCCACGTAGACCCTGATGAGGATGAGGATGGTGTTTATCAATTGGATTCTATCTACTTTATACAGTACAGGCTGGATGATGGAATTCATAATCCTGATCTCGTCAGCGGGTATATCGACTCTCTATCCGTTCACAGGGCGGCCGTGGCATCCTTCACGGACTCGGTAGTACATCCTCAATTGAGGACGTAAGCCACATACAAATCACAGCCATTAAATCCGATAGTATATCCACAAAGAAAAGAAAAAGAAAGAAAGAAAGCAAACAGGAATCCTAACGCCTTGCCCTTTACGCGGTACTGAAGTCAAAAGGGACGCGAGATTATCTGCACAGTCATACAATACTTATTCAAGAAAAACAGCTGGGAGCAAGCTACTCAGGAGGTTCGGCCATCTCCGCGGGTGTTCGTGCTTCAGCTTCAGATGCCGCCTCCGATTCAGTACTCCATTCCTTCTCAGAATTGGCTTTGTTCGACAGCTGGGCAGGCGGGGGAATGACCCGGACACCGCCGGCGCGCGAGAAGAAGTCTTCCGTACGCAGCCCCCGGACTTCTTTGGGATCAACAGCTGTCATTTGTTGCCCAGCTGCCTTTTTCTGGCGGATGAGTTCGCGCACCGGTACCATGGCCGCATCCCGGCAAGCCTCCTTGATATCGCTTCCCGACATACCCGCCATGCCTTTCACCAAGTAATCGAGGTCAAAGTTGTCCCGGTCAACCTTGGTATCTTTCAGGATCAGGCTGAGGATTCGAAGCCGCTGTGCTGCAGGAGGTAGTGCGACAGGAAACTTCTTCGGCATGCGGCGGAGGATAGCCTCGTCGATATCGCCTATGCGATTAGTGGCACCCAGAACGACCACTCGCTGCGGCTCGCCCATCGAGTTAGCTGAAGTAAGACCGTCCCAGTGAGTCATAAACTCGGCTTTGACCATGCCGCTGGCCTCGTGCTCGCCGCTCCGTCGGGTTCCCAGCACTGCATCAATCTCATCGATGAAAACAATCGAGGGCTGCAACTTCCTGGCAAGCGAGAACACAGCATTGACCAGTTTGTTGGAATCACCGTACCATTTCTCAGTCAGGGTAGAGATGTGAAGGTTGATGAAACATGCCCCGCTCTCATGGGCGAGCGCCTTAGCAAGCATGGTCTTACCGCATCCAGGCGGCCCGTATAGAAGGACACCGGATGGAGCAGTAAGAAGCGATGACGTCGAAGCGTAGAGATGGGGCATTGTGAGAGGATAGATGACAGACTCCTTCAGCTCCTCGATGATATCGTCCAAACCTCCAATGTCTTCGAATGACACCGGGATGTCGTCGGGAGCGACTACGTCCATAGCAATAGCCTGTTCATATTGATTGAGGACAAGATCTCCTCTCTTTGGCCGGCGCCCGCCTTTACCCCCGCGACGCGGTGAGTCCTCATCTGACTCGTCTCCTCCATCGAGCTTCCGTAGGATGGCGGCCGACTTGCGTTTTTGTTCTTCTTTCTTTTGAGACTCCGGGTCGAAGTCAAGGCGGGATAGGAGATAGCGAATGAGGAAGTATGCAGATGCCGACTGATAGCGATGACGAGTTAGTCGCAGAACAAGTCTGCCAGAGCGTTTGGACTCACGGTGCCCGCAACCATCACCAATTCCTGCAAGAACTGCTGCCATCGGGGACCGCGCGCTGAAGCCATGATGACAGGATAGCGGAGCAGATGTCCGATCACTAAGATAGTCCAAGATCAAAAATATATATATCTGCAACGCTTATCGCCCGTTAGTGAGTGCCCCGAATCCAGCAGCGGCAAGAAGATCGATTAAAGCTGTAACGATGCATGCGATGGGGGTCGGACGGCCGTCGGCGACAGCGAGCGCAGGTGTGGCGCTGAGCGGTCGGAGACGTGGCTTTGCCGACGGCGTCACATGCTTCACTGCCACAGTGTTGTTGTTTGCGGTCGGGCGGCGGAGGAGCTCGCGCGCACGCGGAGCTCAGTGTGACCCTCGTCGCGTCCATTCCCCCCGCAATTCACGACACGCCGTTTTATATATTCAATTTAACTTATCACTCTATATAGGCCATTATATACCGTTCTCACAATGCCCAAACGAAAGGCTGCTGCTGCGCTATCCGGTTCAGCCGGCGATGAGGATCCCATGCAAGCTAATGACTCCGGAAGGGAGCGCCCTACGAAGAAGCAGAGAGGAAGGCCTCGGTCGAAATCTGCAGAGATGAAACCTCAAATGCAGTCCGGGCGCGATTCAAGTACGGCAGCTCCGCAAGCCTCCGAGGCACCTACGAGAAAGAGCGGCCGCAGGGGCAGACCCAAGGGCAGCAGAAGCTCGGTGCAAGCAACGCAAGACATCTCAGAAGAGCAGGCCGAGGTCAGGGAATCGGAACATGAGGCAGACGATCAGGAGGCAGAAGGCGCCGCTGCCTCAAACGATGAAGCAGACGGTGCGCAGGACGTTGCGAAACCAACAAAAGCCACCAAGTCCACGAGAGCTGCCCCGCGTGGTCGGAAGAATGCCACCATAAGGAACTCAGTTCAGACAGATGGTGGATTCGAGTACACTCCATCAACCGGCCGACAAAGCAAATCGCTGGACAAGCCTGAGGATAGACCAGAACCACCCAAGAGACAAAGACGGAAACCCGAAGTGGAGGAGAACAACGATGCACAAGATAATGAAAGCACTGCCCCGGATGTCGTGGATGAGACTTTGCTTCAAGATGCGCCGATGGAAGCCCGGTCCGTGTCACGCTCTCCCACAAAACGCCGACAATCCCAGAAAGGCATATATAGCTCCCCTTCAAAGTCAAGGCTTGGAGGAACAACCGAGGCCAATGTGGAGCCCGAGTTGCGTCGTCGGATTGGTGAATTGACGAAGAAATGTGATACTCTTGAGAATCGCTATCGGAATCTTAAGGAGATTGGCATTGTTGAAGCGAACTCGAACATGGAGAAACTACGAAAACAGTGCGAGTCGATGACAAATGGTGAGTGGTGCTGTGACTATATTTCCTGAAATCACCAATACTGAATGTTGCTAGCTTCGAACAACCTGATCGCTTCTTTGAAGGCAGAGTTAGAGGCCCAGAAGGCACTTGGTCAGCAAAGTCGGTCGCTCCAACGACAGCTGAAGGAACGGGATGCCGAAGTAGCTCAGTTGAAGTCGCAAGCTGAGGAGGCGACGGGTCAGCTCTCCTCGGCACAGACTGAGGTTAAGGCTTTGCAGACAAAGCTTGCCGCGGCTCGTAATACTGCCGCAAGTCTTGAGAATGCGGCCAGCAAGATTCCTGGAAGCGCAATCAAGAGCGGTGCCAATCGTGCGAATGCTGCTGCGGTCACTGCCGAAGCCGCGCAGGCAGCTCAATTTGCGCAACTCAAGGAAGATTTGTACACTGATCTCACGGGCCTAATTATCCGTGATGTCAAAAAGCGGCCGTCTGACAATCTATATGACTGTATCCAGACCGGTAGCAATGGCAGTAAGTTCTTCTTGCCCCGTGGCGGTTCGATACAAGTGCCTAACAGATTGCAGCCCTCCATTTCAAGCTCGTCGTGCCCCATGTATCAACAGCCAACTTTGAAACTGCCGAGTTTCAATATATCCCACTGTTGGATGAGAACAGAGACCGTGAGCTGGTTGATGTTCTTCCCGAGTACTTGACTGTCGACATAACATTTGTTCGCCAACAAGCATCGAAGTTCTACACCAGAGTGATCGATGCGCTGACCAAGCGGCGGAGTACTGCTGCCATCTGATCGCTCAGAGGGTCATTCGTGTACAAACCTAAGTTTTATATTATCGCGGTGATTGGGCTTTCTTTGTTGAAAATTTTGATTATCTGGGTTGAGTCTTTTTGGAGATATCCCTTATCGCATAGCAGACGCCGGGTCATTGCGTTAGGGCGCTTTCTGGAGCGATTCCATGCTTTTTCTTATGTTATTCCTTTTTTGATTCTTCTATATTATCCGATTTGGTGGGAACAACATTGTATTTATCCGGTTATCAGATGATGGTTCCCAGTGCCAGAAGATACTATCAAGTCATCTCAGGCACAAGATCTATCTATCTACAAATCAGTAGTTCTTTTTCAAGTATACCCAAAAACCCACCGTGAAATAAAGTAAGGGATTGCATCCGAGGACCCTGTGGCCCGCCGTAAATGCCGTCCGTGTCCAATTGGAGGGTCCCGATTGGCTGCGGGTCCTTTCCCCAAGTTCCCCAATTCAGGCACGCGGAAAAGTGCTGAGCTGCCATCATCCCATTCGATCTTCACTCGCACTTTATCTGCTCGTTCTCTCCTGAGCTCGATGCGAGGAAGCAATTGCATCGGCCTCATTCGCCGTTCCTGATTCTCTTTTGCTTCGTTCTTTCTTCTTTGTATCTATTCCACTTTCTAATGGTTTGCATACGTTTTGCGGTCCCGATTTCCCTCCCTTAATCTGTCTTGTCCCTGCCCGGATCTCCTATATCGGAAATCATGGCGCGTCTTGGCCGCGTAGGGTTCCTCACCCTCGCGGTGGTATTCCACCTAATTTACGCTTATTCCATCTTCGATATCTATTTCGTCAGTCCGATCGTGAGTGGCATGAGCTCGTTTCGCGTGGAACGAGAGCCCGATGCTGCTGCCCCCGCCAAACGTCTCGTCCTCTTTGTCGCCGATGGCCTGCGCGCTGATAAAGCCTTTCAAGCATTGCCTGACCCCGATGACACCACCGGAGAAGATGCGGACCCCGTTTACTTGGCTCCTTTTATTCGCTCGCGTGTGCTTTCCCATGGCACTTTCGGCATTTCACATACTCGAGTTCCTACCGAGTCGCGGCCCGGCCACGTTGCGCTTATCGCGGGGTTATATGAGGATGTGTCGGCGGTTACTACGGGATGGAAGCTAAACCCGGTGAACTTCGACAGTGTCTTCAATCGGAGTCGGCATACGTGGAGTTGGGGTAGTCCGGATATTCTTCTGATGTTCCAGGAAGGCGCAGTTCCCGGAAGGGTTGATGCGGATACATACGGCGAAGAGGAGGAGGACTTCTCGTCTGATGCCACACGGCTGGACACCTGGGTGTTTGAGAAAGTGAAAGATCTGTTTGCTTCCGCCAAAACTGATCCTGAGCTGGATGCGAAACTACGCGACGACAAAGTGGTTTTCTTCCTCCATCTTCTTGGGCTTGATACTACCGGCCACTTCAGTCGCCCATACTCGAAGGAATATCTTCGTAATATCAAGCTGGTTGACAGAGGAGTGCAGGAAATAACCAAGCTGGTGGAGGAGTTCTACGGAGATGATGAAACAGCCTTTGTTTTCACGGCTGACCATGGAATGAGCGACTGGGGCAGTCACGGAGACGGCCATCCGGACAATACTAGGACGCCACTTGTTGTATGGGGTTCTGGTGTAGCTGGGCCTCGATACACCCAGGAAGGGACTCTTACTGGCCACGAGGATGGCGTGTCGTCCGATTGGGGCTTTGACAGCATCCAGCGAAATGATGTCGCACAGGCTGATGTGGCAGCCCTTATGGCATACCTGGCTGGGCTCGACTTTCCTACTAATTCTGTGGGTCAGCTACCGCTGCAATATCTGGACGCTAGTCCGAAGGATAAGGCACTGGCCGCACTGGCCAACACTCAGGAGGTCTTAGAGATGTACCGTGTGAAGGAGGAACAGAAAAAGGCAGCACTGCTTCGGTACAGGCCCTTTGAGCCACTGGCTGACCACGGCCGAACCTCTGTCAATGAACATCTCGAGGAGATAAAAGCCAAGATAACAAGCGGCTCTTACGACGAATCCATTGCAATGTCCTCCGCTTTACTGGCGAATGCCTTGGAGGGCTTGCGCTACTTACAGACATATGACTGGTTGTTCCTTAGAACCATCGTCACACTGGGATACCTAGGATGGATAGCCTATGCTCTGACCACGGTTATTGACTTGCATGTCCTTCATGGGACCTCAGACTCGAACCGGACAGCGTTCAGCACTTCATTCTTCTCATCGATCCTTGTTGCACTTTTCTCTGTCTTTTTCGTTCAGCATTCCTCTTGGAGATATTATCTCTATGGTTTCTTCCCGGTATTTTTCTGGGAAGAGGTATTTGCCCGACGAAAGGCTCTGCTTGCTGGCCGCGACATCCTTATAGGTCATGTTCATTCTGCGAGTGGCTATGTCGCGTTTGGATTCCAGTTGGTCGCTTTCGTGGGTGTATTGGAAGCCTTGGTATGGGACCTTACCTCAAATGACTGGGACGTCCGCTAATAGTTTTCTACAGGTGCAATCCTACTTCCATCGCGAAATTTTTACTGTGTGCTTCGTTCTGGGCGCTTTTTGGCCTCTTTGCTACGGGTTAGGATTTGTGAAGAAGCATACACTGCTGTCTTTTACATGGCTTGTGGGCTGTCTCCTCATGAGTACTTTCACTTTGCTACCTGCAAATAAGGTCGAAGAGATCGACACAATGTACGTATATCCCTGAGCGTCTTGCCAACTTGTCGACTTTGGCTGATTGCATTTGCAGAACCTGGGGTGGCCTGTTGATGTTCTTCACCGGCTTGTTATATTTACTTTTCGAGAACCGCATCTTGGGGAAAAAGGAACACCCAACGCAGTTATCCATTACTCTTCCCAGCTGTGGTTCGCGCACAATTATGGGCATGCAGGTATGCACAGCTTCCTTGGGACTACTGATAGCTCCCTTGTGCTTCTCTACGGTCAGCATTGGCTAATTCTGAATAGCTGGGCATGGTCATGCTTGCATTGATTGTTACGAGATCTAGTGCAATGTCTCTTCAAGCTAAAGAAGGTCTTCCATTTGGCAACCAAGTCGTCGGTTGGTTCGTTCTAGGTGAGTTGTGAATATCCAAGGGACGCTGCATGTCGCCACGTGCTACTTCCTATGCCCCCAGTCGTTTCGCGAGCTAATATACTCTATTAGTTACCTCACTTCTACTTCCATTCCTCTACCGCCTGTATCCCAATCGGCATTACCTGCACCGCTTGATGGTCCTTTTCCTCACCTTCTCTCCATCTTTCATTATCCTTACCATTTCCTACGAGGGGCTCTTTTACTTCGTCTTTTGCATGACTCTGGCCACCTGGGTACGATTGGAGCACGCTATTCATGTCTATACTGCAGCGGCAAGGAACGGCGCGGCAGATGCAACGAAGCCAGGCACCGACGCAGCGGCAGTTGTTGAAGGCCATACTTACCGCTACCGAACCCTCAGCGTGTCCGATGCACGGGTGGCGCTCTTTTTCTTCTTCCTGCTTCAATCGGCCTTCTTCAGCACCGGCAATATCGCCTCGATCTCCTCATTCTCCTTGGAGAGCGTTGTCCGGCTCATTCCGGTCTTTAGCCCCTTCAGTCAGGGCGCCCTGCTGATTCTGAAGATTCTCATCCCCTTCGCCATCATCAGTGCTAACCTGGGCATTCTGAACCGCCGACTGGAGGTTGCACCCAGCGCCCTGTTCATGGTCGTGATGTCGATCTCGGACATCATGACGCTGAACTTCTTCTACATGGTCCGCGACGAGGGCTCCTGGTTGGACATTGGCACGACCATTAGCCACTTCTGCATTGCCAGCTTCCTGTGCACATTTGTAGCCGTGCTGGAGTTTCTCAGCGAGGTGATGATCAGTGGAGTGGACTTTGGTCTCCGAAGCACCGCCATTAACGCTGTGAACGGATCCACAAAGACAAATGGCACTGCAATGGCGGACAAGAAGAAGCACCGCAAGGTCCAATAGAAGCCAAGACGCCCCCATAAAGCTCCACCTCGGAGCTGTAATGAAATTGTACATGTGTGATAGTAGAGTCAGATACGTGCATTTGGAGTTAATATACACTACAGCCGAGGAGGCGAACGCGCCCGATAGCGCGAACCTTACAATTGTTGGATACCAGCTTCGTAAGTTATCCCTGTGGCGTTCTCCAAATAAAATCCGCTCCGGCCGAGATACCTCTCTCCACATACATTGCTAGTTTAATTTTTGCTTCTTCCTACTACGTTGCAAGCGTAATCCCCGTTGCGCGAATGCGGCGCCGACGATATCCCGATTAGGAAATAAATAGATCGAAAGATCGATAGGATAAAGCATCAGCCGAGGTTTCACAAGCTAGACTCACTAACGACCACTAACAGATGACGCCACCCAAGCTTTTTGCCCTCTCGCCGCCAGGCTGACTGTCTAGATCCGCGATGGGGAATGGGGGAGGGGCCAAAGCTAAGATCGCTCCGTGGGCGCCCACACACTCTCTCTCACACACACAACACACACACACCCACACCCACACCGCTCGGGTGTTCCCCCTGCATGATGGATGGCTGGGTTGCGGGGAAAGCCCGCGCCATTCCCGCAAGGCAGGAAAAGTAGAGCAAAAGAGAAAAGTCAGGCACACGCACACACACGCGACTGAAGGCATCGGGAGTTAGTAGTCTAGTAGACAGATACTACTAGTCTAGTAGCCTCCGGTGACGTCGGGATGTGCGCGCGGGGAGGTTAACTTACCTTAGACCCCGAGATTTTTCGTACTTGACTCAGAACGGTATAGATTGCGAAGGATGGGGTGTTGGGGATCTCATTGGTTTGATCTTGGGATTGCTCCTGCATTAAGCTGAAGAATACACGCAATCCGGGGGTTTGCTTTCTTTGTCCCTGGGGCTGATTGTTGTTGTTCTTTTGGGAGCCAAGGATTTTTCTGTTGGGTAGTACTTGTTGATGGGGTTAGTGGTGATGATGATGATGATGATGATCCCGAATTGATTAATCCCTCATGGATGAAGCTCGCCTAGGTAGCGAGGAAGGCTCGCGCAGATTTGACGGGGTTGTTGTTGTTTGTTGTTGTTGTTGTTGTGATGGTGGTGATTGTAGATGCGGTTTTCTACAACCATATTTAGCAATGGGAATTAAACCAAGATTTGCGGTCAGATGAGAGTCGGGACCCAAAACTTGGTTAGATAATGATTCAGGGGGATGGTAAGTAAATAACTACTGATGTGCAGGTGGGCTAGAACCATCAGACAACGGCTCTTTTCATGTTTGGTGGTTTTCGGTTTGCTAGTTACTCGATGGGCTATTTCTGACACCCAACTAAATGAATCTATCCATGAGTAACTACTATAATTGTTCTGACTTTCTTTGTTTCCGCAAATGGTGCATAAGCGGGCATAAGCGACATTGTAATGAAGAGAGAGAAAACGGCCCAGACTCCACTTAGTGGAGTTGGAAAAAGAAACGTAAGAAAGAAGCTTAAAATCCACGGGCAAATGCAGGATTGGAAGTTGTGCCGACACCAACTCCCTTCCTAACTGTGTGTTTTTACCGTAGTCTCGTGCGATGTAACTAAGAGAGTATTGATGGGTATAATAGTTCGATATGAATATGCTGGCAGGAGGAGGTTTGTTATAGCTCGAGGCTTACTAGCTCATCGCAGAGCCTGATATTCTCCATCTCAAGGAACTCAATTTGAGTTTTGAGTACCTAGTAGTAGTAGTAGTAGTAGTAGGAGTAGTAGGCACCGGGGGATCCCATCCAGTCGTAGCCATTCCGGGTTTAAGGCGCAAAGAAGGTGGCAGGATCTCCCCTGTAGAAACATCGAGTATCATCTGTCATGATCCCATGATAGTCACGGAGTTAAGCTTACTACCGACTTTGTAGACTTTTTCAACGTACTATCCACATCTCTTCTGGCGAGTACCATCTAGTATTCATCAGGGAATGTGTCCCTCCACAAGGTACTTTGGTGTACTTGAACCGAGTCTGGCAAGAGTCGAGGATGGGGACCGAAAGACTGAAATAGCAGCTATCCAACCATCTAGACTTACTAAAAGTCGACTGACCATCCGGATGGACCCTGGCTGGATCCCCCTAAGAGCCTTAGCCCGACCGTATTTTCTGGTCCGGCGACAGGGAACGAAGCAATACTAAGCAGCTTTCTCCACAGTCCGACTAACCCATTCATTCTCCCCCCTCCTCCTCCCCTTTAGTTAGGTCGAGGTACGTCCCAAACAACTTGAGCAACACCGTGACTGGTTGTCGTGGGGCCCAGCAAAACCATACTTTCAGGTGTCCTTCTGCCCCGAACTAAGACTTTCTGACGCCACCCTGCAGGGCCAGTGGGAAGAGGCGGTTGAACTGTTGCTTGCTGCTGCTGCTGCTGCTTGCTTTTGGGGGGAGGGATGCTCCCGCCCGTTGCCATTGAGTTAGTTTCAGTTCGTTTAGTTACTAGTTAGTTGTCTACTACTTTTTTTTGTTGCAACATAAGTGATTGACTACTATTGCTACCTCGAAACTCTCTCACCCTCGCTCTCTCCATCAGGCACTGGTTCCTGGAGTCATCCATCACCTTCTCTTTTGAGCCCATTAATTCCGGGAATTTTTCTCCCCTGTGCCCCTCCTCATTGCCTCTTTCTCTCTCGCGCTCTCTCCCCTGTGACCTTCCGCCAGGCTCCATCGATCGCATCCATCGGGTGGCGCCAAATCCTCCCTCCCCTCCTCTCCATCTTTCGGGCTTGCGTGGTGCTTTACCTGTTCCGTTCCGTTCCTTCAGTTCATCTGCCTGGCCAGTAAGCGGTTCATCAAAATCCCCAAACCACAGCAAAAAGCAAAAGATCCGTCACCACACGGCCTCCTTCTCCATATTATCATACTTGACCCTTGGTCCTCCTTCTATTTCATTTTCCCCTTTCTCTTTTTTCCTTCCTTTCCTTGTGACGTATTGTTCCGCTTTTTTCTTTATTCTTTGTCTTTTCACTCTTTTTCGAGTCTCGACCACACAAAACTTAATTCCCCCCAACCCTCGAGTCGTTTCCTCCCCCTGGCCCTCGTCGCTCCAGACCATTTCTTTGTCGCAAAGTCTCTGGATGGATACCTGGTGGCCATGAGCACGACCGAAAACCACTCAGATCCAACAGCTTCCAAAACCAGCCCAGCCCCAAGTACAGCGGGCTCAACGGGCACTTCAGGTATTACTGTGCGCACGGGACCAAACGGACATATGAGTTTCAGAAGGTGAGTGTTGACCGTTATGGTGCTTGCTTTTTTGCCCGTTTGCGCTCGCGGGGCTGTGAGAGATGAAGCCAGAAAGCCTGGCGCAGAACTCCCAGAACCCGAGCGGGGAGACTACAGGACGAGAAATATAGATTCAAATTTGGTCGAGATCTTATAGAAGCTAATCTTCTTTATCTAATCGCTTTTTTTTTCCCAATAGACAACGTGCGTCGCGTGCTTGTGAGGTACGTCTTGCTTCCTGCGAGGTCGCGTTTGTGCTGTTGAGCCTCGGCACCTCGGCTCAATCCCAGCTTTGCTTTTGCTCCTTACTCGCCGGTCGCAGGTAATGCGCCGCGCGCAAGGAATATGACAATGCAACCACATCTCGATCTATAGGACTTTTGTTTGGCTAACATGATATTTTCTTGCACTTGTGAAGACATGCCATGCTCGAAAAGTGAGTCTATACCCCTTTTTCTCCGTGTAACCACCTGTCCCCACTCGAATGGATGGCCCCAGTCCTGCCCGTGCCTTGCCTGCGCCTGTGATTCTGGACGGCCGAACGAGCTCGCTAATCACGCCACTTCCATGGGTAGGTTCGCTGCGATGCCGCCAGTCTAGGGGTGCCATGCACCAACTGCGTGGCCTTTTCGATCGAGTGCAAGATCCCTACACCGAAACGCAAGAAGAACCAAACCAAGTCGAAGGAAACAAGCGGGTATGTCTCGGTCTTTCGTCCCATCATCGGTGTTGATCTCTATTGACCATGATGCTTCGTTTCTTGTTTACTAGAGGTGAGGAAGCCGAATCGAAATCGCCGCAGAGCAAACCCGAGCCACTACCAGTCGAAAGCGGGAAGGATGCCTTTGGCTATCAGAGGAATCGGATGGCTGTCGACGGTATGCCGGTCACTAGCCTCACCGAATCGCAGGCCGCTCAGCAGGCTTCCCAAAACTCCATGTATGCCCAGTTCATGAAGCCTAAGTTTGCGCGCGCCCCGATAAAGGAAGCGGGGAGGGTTGCATATCTTGGAGAGTCGTCAAACCTTTCGCTCCTCGTCCAGGATCGCCATGGGACCACCGATGTCGTGCACTACCCTCTGCCCCCGAACATGGGCGGCACGCCTGCTCGGTTGACGGATCTGGATAGCTTGGAGTTGGATATCCTGCATCAACGTGGCGCTTTCCTGCTGCCTCCAAAGCCCCTGTGTGATGAGCTGGTTGAAGCCTACTTCAAATGGGTGGCTCCTGTAGTGCCCATCGTCAATCGCAGCCGCTTCATGCGGCAGTATCGTGATCCAAAGAACCCGCCATCTTTACTTCTTCTCCAAGCCATACTCCTGGCTGGTTCGAGGGTCTGCACCAACCCGCAATTGATGGACGCCAACGGCTCAACCACGCCCGCTGCCATGACGTTCTATAAGAGGGCAAAGGCACTATACGATGCCAATTATGAGGATGACCGCGTCACTATTGTCCAAGCGCTGGTTCTTCTAGGCTGGTACTGGGAGGGACCGGAAGGTACGGATCGTGGCTTATGCCTATCGTGTCCTTCGGTTCAAAGGGTATATGTGCTAACCTGCCTTAGATGTTACGAAGAATGTCTTTTACTGGACCAGGGTGGCCATGGTCGTGGCTCAGGGTTCGGGTATGCATCGAAGGTAAGCACAACCCTGATTGGTTTTTATGTTTATAAAGGCAAGTTTATTAAATGATACTATAGTGTGGAATCGTCTCAACTTACCAAGCCGGATAAGAGACTGTGGAAGCGGATCTGGTGGACCCTATTTACACGAGACCGATCGGTGGCTGTCGCGCTCGGCCGGCCCATCGGTATCAATACGGACGATTCGGACGTTGGGATGTTGACGGAAGACGACTTCATTGAAGATGAGATCGACATTGCGGCGGAGTATCCGCCAGACCCGGTACACGTACAATTCTTCCTTCAATATGTCAAACTCTGCGAAATCATGGGATTGGTTCTCTCCCAGCAGTACTCCGTGGCCTCGAAATCAAGACGGATGAATGCTATGGATCTCACCCACTCCGACATGGCATTGGCGGATTGGCTCCAGAACTGTCCAAAGGAGGTGTGTTGGCAACGGCAACGGCATCACTTCTGGGCTGCACTCCTTCATGCCAACTACTAGTGAGTCATGCTATAAGGGAATTTGTTTTAGTTTCGAAACTAACTAGATTCAAGCACAACACTCTGTCTCCTGCATCGAGCCCATATGCCGCCTGCGTCTTCCGTTTCGAGCAATTACCGCGTAGAGGAGATGGCCTACCCTTCGCGAACCATTGCGTTCCAGGCTGCCGGAATGATCACTTCAATTGTTGAGAACCTCCAGAATCATACCGAGATCAGATATGCGCCGGCCTTTATGTAAGTTCTTGCGTCTACCATATGGTGACGTCTACTAACTCCCGCAAAGTGTCTACAGCTTGTTCTCGGCCTTAATTATGCATGTTTATCAAATGCGATCTTCTGTTCCCTCAATTGTGGCCACCTGCCAGGAACGGATCAACATATGCATGCAAGCCCTCAAGGATGTGTCGAAGGTCTGGCTCGTGGCCAAAATGGTGCACACGCTATTTGAATCCATTCTCGGGAACAAGGTCTTAGAAGAACGCCTTCAGAAGGCCGCAGGCAAGAGACATCAGCGGGTACGGCCCGAGGCAGCCCAGCAGCCGCCTGCGAAGAAGCCGGAACCCCCCAAGCGCAAGTTTGATGAGATGGAGTTTGGCCTACCGAATGGAGGAGGCCCCACGCCACCGGTATCTTACGAGCGATCTCGTCCCCAAACGCCTGCAGTCACGCCCTCGAGAGAGATGCAGCCTCCGGGTCTGAACCTGCCGCAAGGTTCCCCTCCAGCTCCCGGACAGCCGGGTGCCTCGCGCGGGAATACGCGGCCGACGACTCCTTTCAACCAATATTCCTTGCCTGCCACGCCCCCGGACCTATTTCTTGTTACGCGTACCTCGCCCAACCTGTCCCCGTCACTGTGGGAAAACTTCCAACCGGATCAGTTGTTCCCTGACGGCACTACGTTCTTCCCAGAATTGACGTCTCCCCAACCAAACACGGTCGACCCGCAACTGCAGATGCAGTCTCAGCTACAAGCACAAGGCATGGATCAACGGGCGATGATGCCACAACAAGTACCAGGACGTGGTAGTATATCCGCCGCTCAGGGCAGTCCAGAAGTCATGTCGACTCTAACACCTGCAATTGGCCTGCCCGGCCAGCACTCACAGCAGGTGTTTGGTATCGAAAGTCAGCAGGGTTGGCCAATGCAGAATATGGACGCGACGCTGGGCGGAGCGCCTATGGACGCTGCGAGCCAGGATGACAATTGGAGCAGTAGTTCAAGGAGCGGTCCGACAGCTCCCACCACACTTAATGTGGAGGACTGGTAAGTTGATTCCGGCGGCTCCAAACAGGGCTGCAGCAAGGATGTCGCTGTATGCATATACTAACTCACAGCTCTCAGGTTCCAATTCTTCGGCATTAACGGTAGTTTCGGCGATTTGGCGACGTAAGCGGCGTTATGTCCATAGCATTTTCTAATATTTGACATGGCATGGGTGGTTGTTTGATGGATTCATGGTCATATTGGTCTTAACCGTCAATATTTCTGTCCGGCTAATTACCCGAAGGGTGGGTATATTGTGTTTTATATTCGAGTACAGCGAGTCTTATATCCAGGTCTCCCCGGTTGTTGGAGATGTGGATGAGGGTCATTCTTGACGGTGGGAACAGGCGCAACTGGAGGATGTGCCTTACATTCATGTGTATAATGATTTTTAGTGGTAGAGTCGAAATGACGCAATGAAAATTGCAAGTAAACTTTTCATGGAATGATTCAGGTGGAATGTAAAACTCCTCTGTACATAAGCAACTATGCGAATCTCATACAGGTGAATAGTTCAGTTGGCTCAGTGTCTGCCTCAGGCGCTGAATGAGTCAGCAACGTGACTGTTCCCGACTGGGCCTAGCGGATGACGACATCGCAGCGCGGGCGGTTCAGCCAATGACAAGACGTGGGATCTGGGGCCGGCTTTACCGACTCGGGCAACCGTCGATGCTGACTACTCCTGGGGGATGACTCTTCTGGGGAAGATAATAATTTCGCCTTTTCCATACCAGAATCTCCTGTTATCCCATCTTTCTTTGGTAATTCCATTCTTCTTTTTGCCATTGTCATCTCTCTTTTGTCCAATCCCACCTGTTCTCATATCCGGTGGTGACTCTCCCTTCTTCCCGACCACTTTCTCTCGCCCTTGACCATCTCCCCGCTGTTCCGTCCCCGCAGCGATGTCGGCCGCAGGATCAAGTAGTGATGCCGCGGTGAAGAAGGCTTTCCCTCGGGTTGACCTCGAGGGTCACGACCTTCCTCCCTCCCCCGCTCCTTCGAGCCCCCACGGTGGCCGTCGCTATAACATTGCTACGGAGCTTGTATATACGGAGGGAAATGATCAGTACAATGCTAGCAGCGTTCCGATCTACCAGGTACCGATTAATCCCCCGATAATGCCTCAATGTCTCTGTTTCAGCCATGCAGAGGCACGACGCAAGCAGGAAGTTAGGGCTAATTGATGCTTTTGTAGAGCGCTACATTCAAGCAGACCTCCGGTGGTGGAGGCGGCGAATATGACTACACTCGCTCCGGAAACCCGACCCGGACACACTTGGAGCGACACCTCGCCAAGATCATGTCCGCCCAGCGGGCTCTCGTCGTGTCCTCTGGTATGGCTGCGTTGGATGTGATTTCTCGCCTGCTTCGTCCTGGTGACGAGGTGGTGACTGGTGATGACCTCTACGGTGGCACCAACCGCCTTCTGAAGTACCTGTCCACGAACGGCGGCATCATCGTCCACCATGTTGATACTACGGTGCCGGAGAAAGTGCGCGAGGTTCTGACCTCGAAGACGGCGATGGTCCTGCTGGAGACGCCGACCAACCCGCTCATCAAGGTCGTGGATATTCCTCAGATTGCTGCCGCCGCCCACGAAGCGAACCCTAACTGCGTTGTCTCGGTCGACAACACCATGATGTCGCCTCTTTTGCTGAACCCTCTCGAACTTGGTGCCGATATTGTGTACGAGAGCGGTACCAAGTACCTTTCCGGTCACCACGACCTTATGGCAGGTGTGCTCGCGGTCAACGACCTGTCTCTCGGCGAACGCCTCTACTTCACAATCAACGCTTCCGGCTGCGGTCTGTCACCCTTCGACTCGTGGCTGTTGCTGCGTGGAGTGAAGACGCTCAAGGTCCGGATGGATCAGCAGCAGAGCAACGCCCAGCGCATTGCCGAGTTCCTCGAAACCCATGGCTTCAAGGTGCGGTACCCTGGTCTGCGGTCGCACCCGCAGTATGAGCTGCACCACTCGATGGCCCGGGGATCGGGAGCCGTGCTCTCGTTCGAGACGGGTGATGTGGGTGTCAGTGAGCGGATTGTTGAGAGCGCCAAGCTGTGGGCCATCAGTGTCAGCTTTGGCTGTGTCAACAGTTTGATCAGTATGCCGTGCCGCATGAGCCACGCCAGTATCGACGAGAAGACGCGACGGGAGCGCGCCATGCCCGAGGATCTGATCCGACTGTGTGTGGGTATTGAAGATGCAGATGATCTCATTGATGACTTGCGACGGGCGGTAAGTTTTGCCATTTAAATTCTCCATTCTGGGTGTGATTGATCAGTTTGAGCTAATATTGGATGTAGCTGGTGCAAGCTGGTGCTGTCAATGTCACGCTGGACGACTTCCAGGCGAACTCGTCCAACTAAGCTACGTATGCATAACACGCGCGCGACTGATGGATTGTGCGGGTTCTTTCTGTAATTGAGGCATTGATTCGAGTGCTACGGTCACGATTTTTTTTTAAGAGACGATCATTTGGGCGTTCAGGAGCATTAATTAATGAGTGTAGTAAAATATTTTGGGAATGAAACAACCATATTATCTGAACATCTATAATGTGTCGGTGGATTGTTTATCCCGGGGATGGCTGAGAACCGTTTATCCGGGGGGGATTCGCGATGGCCTCAAAAACCAGGGATCCGTCGGCAGTTTGGCGGAAAGATCGGCCGGCATCGGAGGCAAACCCGAGGACGTTGCAAAAGCTGGTCCAATCATTGGCCGGCCACTTCTCGTCCGCCTGCAAGTCCGATTAAATAATGAGTCGCTGTCGCGATGGATCTGATTTCTCGCTCGCTCTTAGTACTTATGTATGTCGGGCGCGAGGCTAACAAACTCCGAACCCTTTTCTTCTTTGCAATGGACCTGTAATCCCGTCGGGCTCCCGTGCCTTAATCCCTCGTTTTGGACTGCGAACCTGTTCGCCATCCCCCAAACCCCCGAACATCTGTCTCACTCATCCGTCCTCCCCGGCAATTGTCTTCTCCTGCGCTGGTCTGGATGACGTTGTTCGAGCAGTCGCTGTAACCTCCTTCTCTTCACCTCGGGCGATCCTATCTCAGCCCTAGACTTGCTCATTCTTTTTGTCTCTTTTTTTTTTCCCTCTCTCTCTCTCTCTTTCACTTCTCGCCTGATCGCCATCCCGACCGGTGAAACAATACCATGCCTCGGAACGCGCTCTCCTCCGAAGCGCCTCTCCCCATGTCCGCCATCACAGAGCAGTCCATATCGTCGGATTGGAATACCAACCGTTTAGGTGCGCGACTGGGAGTCGATATCGCCAGTGCCGCAACTGCGGGTGCCTTGACATGTCCTGTCATCACCGTTATTGATCGGTATGCTAGTTACAACCTACCCCGATACATCATCCTCCTATCGTCGAGAGAGATAGCGAGAGAAAGAGCTATAAGCTAATGAAATCAATTCCTTGAACCAGCGCGATCATCGAAAAAGCAGCCAAGGGTGTCCCCATCCGCCAGACCATCACATCCTGCTTCCGATCCATGTTCACAAAACCGGGGAGCTTCTTCCTCAGCACCCCATTCCTCCTTATCTACACCCTGTACACGTCCACCTACCTCACTGCGAACACCATTGACACCTTCACCTCCACCGTGCGCGACAAGCCCTTCTCAACCGTCTTCCCCGGTACCGCCAAATTCCTCACCACCACCGCAGTGAACATGGGTATTTGCGTATACAAGGACGCCAGGTTCGCGCGCATCTTCGGTGCAAAACCCTCTCCTGCTGCTACACCTGGATCTACATCTGCGCCCCAGCCCGCTTCCAGATCTACATCCGCATCCACCCCAGCCTCCTGCCACCCCTCCGGCGCCGCCAAAGTCCCCAAGATCTCCTACGGCCTCTTCTGTCTCCGCGACAGCATCACCATCTTCGCCTCCTTCAACATCCCCGCCCTCGTCGCCCCCTCCATCCCCGATTCTATCGCCGCCACGCCCGGAATGAAGGCTGCGCTCGCGCAATTCTCCTGTCCGGCTCTGATGCAGTTCGCTAGCACGCCTATGCACCTGCTCGGATTGGATCTGTATAACCGGCAACCGCCAGGCGGATTGGGATGGCGTGAGCGCGCTTCGCGCATCAGACGCGACTACATCCCCAGTTGCTTTGCGCGCATGGGCAAGATCGTTCCGGCGTATGGTGTGGGTGGTGTGGTGAATGTGCGGATGAGAGCTTCGCTAATGGAGTATCTGGAAGGCGGGAAGTAACCGTTTCCCACAACTGCTTACTTTCTTATTTGTTTTGTGACGACGATGATGACGATGATACTCCCCCTTTTGGCAAGATCTAGTTTATGACCCTTAGATCTTTCCGTTGGGGGGGTGGCTATTTACAGTGCATATATGCAACACATGACATATACTTTATAGACAGAGGCGGGGTGTTTTCTCTGCCCTGCCCTGCCCTGCCCTGCCCTGCTCTGCTCTGTTCTGTTCTGTTCTTGTTCAGACTTGCGTTTGCTTCTTTTCTATACTACACTCTACTCTCCACTCATAGAGTCACGGGTCCGGCGTCCTAATTTTTTATTATTTTTCTTTCGGATCGGTGTTCTATGTGTGTTCTGTTCGGGTTATAGATTTAGAGAATCTGACTTACTAGCTAATGTCTGGTTTTGGATGATCACGAGATGAGATGCACTTGTTCTGTCTGTGTTAATCTATCTTATACTCAGCTTGTTGGGACTGTGTTGTGTGATGGCTTGATTATCTAGATTATTTATGCTCAGTGCATTCAGTTCCGTGAAACTGATCATGTCGTCTGGTGCTGGTTTCCTTGTATTTCTTGAGATGGTTTGGATGAGTTAGTGTTCTATCGATCAGATCGAAGAAGAGCCGTTGGAGAAGTGGTCTAGATGTATTGAATGAATCGAAACTCATACAATATTAGTATCACCTTGGTTTAATTTAGAGTCAATTCTTGATTACTTTGATGTTAAGGTACTAGTACGGTCTTTAGAGGGCAGACGTAGCTAGTAGGTATATATCTACTAGTTAGTATCCTCTAGCTGCATTTCAGCAGGAAATAAAGAAATAAAGCGTAAGTAGCTCTCTTCCATTTAGTGATAGATTGACTCTTCTAGTGGGTTAGTCGAAGGGGTATTAAGGAACTGTATATAAGTATATGCTGGAATAACTAACAAAAAAAGGGGGAAATAAATGTCGCGAATGTTGTCCTAATCCAGTGTGCTATTGTTGCACACAATCTTAAGGGGATTAAAAGAAGCCAAAAAGAGGGAGGGGGAGAGAGAGTATCACACAAGAAGCAAAGATGAAAAATCAAAACTAGGTACATGCAAATATAGAAGAGAGCAAGCAAGTGAATTATATTTACCACCTACCGAACACACGTTAGTCCATATAATTACTGCTGTAGGGAAGGGGACAGCTCACGAAAATGGTTCTGTATGCAAATAGACTTCCTCCACAGTGCTTCCCTTCTTCAGAACTTGGCCCTGTGCATGCGCAGCTGCGTTCCTCACGTCGCGGATCATTGACCCCGGGCCACAGGTAAAGATCGCGATACGCCTCGACGTGTGTGATGCAGTGCTAGCTGCGATGATCCCAGATATGTCCGGTCGGTTCCCCAATTGGACAACCGTATCCGCAATGTCGATTTGCGATGAAACGGAGTCGGAGGAACCCCCGGGTCCTCTCTTCTCCACTGAGTCTGGGATCAGGGGTGATCCCGAAGCTGGAGTGGACAATAGTGAGTCCTTCGAGGTGACGTGGATGGAGAGGGAGATTTCGTCGCTTTGAACGTTGTAGGCTGCAAGCTTGGCTTTGATTTCCTCCCGGTACCAATCTGCGAGGGCGGCGGTGCGAGTCGCAAAGTGTACTTGGATTGTTGCGGTTGACTGTTGCTGTCGGTGAGCCCGCAGTGCTTCCTCGAGAATGGCCAGGGAAAAGCCACCGCCGGTGCCCCCAGTGATGAGGACATATGTGTCAAACTGGGCGAAATCGACGGACTCAGAAATCCCGCCATATGGGCCTTCGAGGAGCACTGTCTCAGATGAGTTCGGTTGTTCGAGAGCCGTGTTGCCCAGGCTGGCTGTTAGTCCGCGGCGCGGCTTGACGTAGAAGATGATTTCAGGTGCTTTGCCGGTTCGCTCCATGTCCTGGTATAGGGAGCAGATCGTGAATGGGTGAGCGCTGAGACAGTGGATGCCTTGCTGAATGCTGAGGAATCGGACGAAAACGTGTTGGCCTGGGCGCCAGGTCATAATTGTTGGAATCCGGATTCGGACGAGGCCGCAGGGGAGCTGTTCGATTGTGGCTGTGTGGCGGCCATGCATGAAGTAGGTACGAATGTTGGATATCCATAAACTTAGGATGTATATTGCTCCTGCAGATATGAAGTAATCCCTGGTAGGGTGAGCTGGATCCATGACATGGTATGTTAGGGGAGCCTACCATGAAGATAAGCGGAAGTCACAGTGCAAGAAGAAAAATACGACGAATACCAGGGCGGCAAGAAAGTGGGTGGCTTTGAAGAATTCGTAGAATCGGTTCCTGTAATTGTCAGTTTTGAGTTGGTAGTTGAGTGATGGTTGGGCTGACCTGATGGCTGGGAATGACATGAATGTCAGATATGCCTGCGGAATTATAGCAGCAACCCCAGTCCAGTATGTAACCTCCGTCTTCCACTGGTCGACCATATCGCCTTGATCGATGTGGTAAACAATGAAAGGAAAGGTATGAACGAGCGCCAGGACAAACATAGCATAACTTGTCCAGTGATGAAACACCTGCGCAAGATTAGCTTTTATCCTGACACATAAATGTCAGACATACTTGAAGCTTTTCATGAGGCACGCCGGTCAAAGTCGAGATAAGATTAGCTTTTGCGCTCAGTGCTCTATTGGGGTCAGTCATTGGTTATAATGCCGTTGATTGGGGAGTGTCCTACAAGACAAACGGTAGCAGAGCCAGGGCCATCCATCCACTTCTCGTCGCAATCGGCGGGCTACCTCCATAGGAGACCGTTTCTGTGTTGGGCCAGTAGTAAGGCCGCGGTCCCAGTGTCATGGCTTTGATAATAGTTAGTCAAGGGCTCCAGTCATCGAGGTTGCGAAAAACCAACCCAAGAAGAATACTACTCCTGTCGACACCAGGAGAATGACCCCAAGCGAAGAGGTGCTAGAGCGCAGCACGGGTAGTTGGAAGCATCGGTAGGCAAGATATCTTCCCACTGTTGTTGATCGTCGCCATATCGTAGACCTCTTGATAGAGTGCGGACCATACTTGGAGATCAGATGCAGGATGGAGAAAACACCGACAGTCGCACATAGAAAGTATATGGTATTCAAGGCATAGACGTGATCCGATTGATACCTATTGACGAAGACACAATTAACATAGAGTCGATTATATGGGAGAATTGGAAGATCTACCAGTATCTCCAATGTGCGTTACGATAGGCACACTGGTCTGGGGTCAAGGTGCAGTGATCAGCCCGGGAAGAATGTAACATAACCGGCTGGTCCAGCCATGGCAGCCCCATGTTGAGGAAGGGTTAGTGTGCTCAGAGACACCAGTCTGCAGAATTGATGACGCTTTCTGTATGCACTTCCTATATCCACAACGTGGTTCAGGAACAAGGTCAATGAAATGATCCATGTAAGGGCCATGTGTCTTAGGCGTTGAGTTTTGAATGATCCAGCAGGGGACCCTAGATAGAGGGCGATGCAACAGCATGATTCAGCTGCTTCGTGTGCCTTGACAACCATCGTCCATGGTACGGAACTCCAGACCCTTTCCCGCTGTCGTAGCAGCAGCTTCACCTGGCAACATGATGTTGTCCTGTAACAGCGGATTGCTCATTGGCTGAGGGTTGCTCACAATTGAGCACATTTCTCCGGTTAGCGTGGAATGCATACGCATGCGGGCCGTGTTTGGGGGACAATCTGCTCTGTGCGCTTAGCATGCATGACCATCCAGTATGGCTAGCGGAATGACTGGGAAATTACGATGTTCTTTCTTGCTGATTCCATCTTCTCATAACCCATCTATGTATAGGCTGGTGAGCAGTTTTGCGCAGGATACGAAGTAGCCCGCGAGTAAATGGATGCTTGACGCATCTGGATCGTTTCTAACCAATTGCGGAAGGAACATGGCGTAACAGTGGAGAAGCAGAAACAAGATTAATGAATTAACTTTGGGATAACCATAAACTGAACAGCTGAGATATCATCATGGAGTAGATACATTAAGAGAAAGATTGAAACGACGAGATGCAACCTTATCGTTTGCGTCCCCCATCCGGTCTAGCGTGGGTCCGTGACCACCACCGCGGTTTCTACTGCTGCAGCAGCAACAACAGCATCTTCTGCTGCTGCATCCACGGCTTCTACGGTTGCGCTGGCTGCTTTGCCCATCTTGTTCGACTCCACCCCATTACTTCCCCACAGCAGATGATCCTTGAGCGCTTGATATCCTCCGCGGAGACTGTCCGCTGCTATCCCCTTGGCCCGCAGCACACTGCTGGCTACCCGCGCGGTGTCCCCATGGTAGCAGAGCATTAGCACATTATGGCCACTCAATTTGCCAAGCACATCTGCATTGCTGAATAACGCTTCCAACTCCAGCCACTGTGCCTCTAGTACGTCTGCGTCGCTGAATGGCTTGGCTGTATGAGAGTCGAGACTATGCAGGGGAATGTTTACCGATCCCGGGAGGTGCCAAGTGCCAAAGTCCCCCGCGGTTCTCAAATCCAGCACGCAGCACAGAGGCCGGAGCACCATCTCGCTCAGGAGGTTGGATGAAAAGCAACGGGGTAATTCGTAATATTCGGTGAACAGAACCGCAGGGCTTCTTTCCCAGCTCTCATCATACCGGTAGAGATCAACACCAGCGAGGTTCTAGAAAAACAATTATCAGCATACCCGAGCTCCGAAATTCAATATACGTAGCTCGCCGACCCACCTGATTACGAATTGGAGGAAACCTCTCGGGCCCTAGCTTCTCGAAATAGTCGCCAACGTATTGATATGGCAGATCGAAGCACAAGAAGACACAGTGGATCGAACCATCTGGTCCCGCTAGCTGTTGCAAGGTTCCAGCGCTCTTGCGTTTCTCCAGCATCTGATAAAGTCCCTTCAAACTCAAACCGGATGACGGCCCACAGACGACCCCTTCGCGACACAAGTCCAAGGATAAAGAGAACGCGTCATATGAACTGACTTCTTCATGTACGTCAAGCGCTTCCCTCCAGGGAAACTCCTGTACCTGCATCAGGGCAAATGTTCGTGGCCCTGGAACCCTGTCCCCGGGTGCTGTGCACACTCCAAGCCGTAGCACAGATGGCTTGACTTCTTTGAAGTAGGTCCCTAGTCCCGTCATCGTCCCCGAGGTCCCCATTCCTGCACAGAGCACGTTGATTTCTGGTAATTGCTTGAATATCTGGGGTCCAGTCCAGCGGATGTGCGCATGCCAGTTGTCATCATTGTCATACTGGTTGGGATTAACAATCTCGTCGGATTGCATGGCCATTGCCCGAGCAGTCTGGATGCCCCCGCGTTCATCAAACGGGTCAGGCTGAGATGGGCCACCGAAAAGGGTGACATCCAGCCCGAAGAACTGCATCATCCGTAACTTGGTCTCGGTGGATTTATTACTCAGGAAAGCCCTGGTGTCGCTAATACCATGCATCAATCGAGCGAGCATAGACATCGAGATGACTGTGGACCCTGAGCTGAATTCCACAATCGTTTGGGTCTTGCCAGGCACCACGGTTTTTTCGAGCAGGTTCATCGCTTGTTTCGTCAGTGCCAGGGCCAGGCACATGGTCTGTCCTACTGAGGGCCGACATACCTGGTATAGCTTTCACGTTGTTGGCCGGGTGCATTGTCATCATTTTGGCATAGATCCGTACTCCATCTTGGTGGAACGGGTTCAATCGATCGGGCAGCTCCACCAGAGGTAACGGAGGCTGGCAGTCCGGATCAAAGTACTTNCTTGAGCGCATCCAGCCCAAAGTACACATTGTGTTCATTAATGTTGGTCATTATGTCAGAATATCAGTAGGGGCGGCGAGTATTGACGGCAATGTTGAGCCAACAATCACCCAGGGACGGGAGCATCAAATTATACGGCCCTGCTACAGAAACATGCAGTCACCCTCCCACGCACGAGATGCACTCTTTCCGGCGTGATCTTCGCATTCGGCGCATTGCTAGCGGCCCACTGAGCTTGGTTTATTGCACATCTCAAGTCCGCTTCAGGAAGGTCCGTGTCTCATGTTGAGCGGTTATTCATGGGGAGTGGGTTGGAACTCAACTCGTATTCGTCGAAGACTTGCGCAAATGTGCTCAGCTTGAGCGTTCTGCTTGTGACTCTTTCGAATAACGTAAGATTCTTTGAAAACAGTCCCCTGACTCAAAATCGGGTTGAGGTCGGTCTACGTTGTGTTGGTTTTCTTGCGCTCCGCAGTCTACCCTCTGATGACGGAACCCAACATTCCAAGGTTGTCATATAATAGCACCATGTATAGGCAGAGGGGCACGTACTCCAAAAGATCCACAAGCCGTCACGGCATAGTAGCTGCAACCTTTTACGAAAGCACGAGGGCATTTGCGTTGTTTTAGTCGATCCTTTCCCTTTTAGCCCTAATCGGCGAGACGGCGGCCCTGACACGCAAGGAGCCGTCCGCTCCATGTACCTCTTTGCACCGCAATATGGTCGCTACCCGAGCAATCCTTCCTTCCTGAAATTTGTTTCATTTCACAGTCTTAGATGGGTTTACTAAGTATCCTCGCTTGCAAATCCACGGCGCCTTGCAGCGCTCACTTGGCTCAGTCCTCTTGTCAATTGACCCTTTCGTTTCTCTTGAATAGGCTCGCGCCCTTATCTCAAGGACATCGAGCTCAGCAAGAGATAAAATGCCTGGGATCTCAATTGAGAATGAAGTCAAACATGATAATCCATCGACTATCTCTCGAGATGTCGTCACCGAGTCTAGCGGAGAAGAGAGCCGGTCAGCTGCACCACCACCCATCTTCAACGAACAGACAAATTATGTCCCATTGAGCACTATCATTACGGTATATTCCACTATATGGACGCTCAACCACCAACTATCTATCTAACCTGTCGCAGATATTCCTAGCCTGCTCGACAGTTGATTTCGTAGCGGTCATGGACCAAACCACTCTAGCCGGGAGTTTATCCATAATCGGCAATACATTAAATGCCAGCAACAAGACCTCCTGGATATCAGGAGGGTATTTTGTGTACGTCGAGTTGGCAGCCAGACGTGATCCCCAAGTAGCTAACCCAATACAGAACATCAACCTGTTTCCAACTTTTATACGGACGACTCTCTGACATCTGGTCCCGAAAATACGTCCTATACATAGGTCTCGCCATTATGTTCATCGGATCCCTGGCATCATCTCTAGCACAGACCGCCACGCAACTCATCATTTTCCGCGCCTTCACCGGCATGGGCGGCGGCGGAATTACGTCCATCGCGCAGATGATAGTCAGTGACGTGGTTCCACTCCGCGAGCGAGGTAAATATCAAGGCATTCTTGGTGCAGTAATAGCTATTGCCAACGGAATCGGCCCTGTGATTGGCGGTGCTCTATCCCCGATATCCCACAACTCGTGGAGATGGATCTTCCGACTTATGCTGCCACTCACGGCTATCTCAATCCTCGCTGTGATGTTCTTCATGCCTTTGCGGAAGGTCACCGGTAACTGGAAAGCGAAGCTGAAAGCTGTCGATTTCTTCGGCGTCTTTCTAGCTCTAGGAGGCACGGCGGTGCTTATGCTCGGATTGACATGGGGTGGTGGCGAGTATGTCTGGAAATCGGCACATGTTATAGCAACGCTCATCGTGGGGGCTGCAGTGTGTGTGGCTTTTGTCCTGTGGGAATGGAAAGGTCATCCGTATCCGCTGATACCTATGCATATCTTTAAATCTCGCATTGTGAACGGCGCGTGCCTGACCATGTTCATCAACGGGTGGAATATCATAGTCATGCTTTACTACATTCCGACTTTCTATCAGCTTGTGTTCGGTTATTCGACTACCAAAGCTGGTGCCATGGTATTACCCATCACATTGTTGCAGAGTACGTTGCCTTTCCCTGCTATCACATATCAGCCACTCTATTCCATGCTTAATATAAACGCGCAGCCCTGAGCAGCACCTTCTCCGGCCTAATCGTCCACTGGATCGGCCGATATCGCGAATCCATCCTCGTCGGCTGGATGATCTGGGCCATCGGACTAGGCCTGATGTCGACTCTGAACGAGACATCCAATCTAGGAAAGCAGATAGGCTACGGTCTCTTGACAGGTATAGGTTCAGGGAATACATTACAGCCGTGAGACTGTCCCCTCCCCCACCAACATACCCCTAAACTACTACAACACCAACTTACCCACCCTCAGAGCCCTAATCGCCGTCCAAGCCGGCGTCGCGAGACGAGACATGGCCGTAGTAACCTCATTCCGAAAGTACATCCATCCCCCCCCACCCTCCACATCTATCCCATCTCCTACCCACTAACACCGACCACCAAATACAGCTTCATCCGCAACCTAGGCGGCACCCTCGGCCTCGCTGTCTCGGGCACAATCATGTACGTACATCCCCACATACCCCCTTCCACCTATTCATGCTAACTCCCTCCGCAGAAACAACCTCCTCTCCACGTCCATCACCTCCCTCCACCTAACCACTGCACAAAAGCAATCCTTCCTTGCCAGCCCATCCAACTATCTGTCTAAACTCCCCGCCGACGAAGCAGCACATGTTCGTGCGCTGCTTATCCCCGCGTACAAAGAGGGATTTAGGATCGTGTTTACGGTGAATGCGGCGCTCGCGGCGCTGGCTTTCTTCTTGGCGGTGGCGTTGATGCCGCAGGTGAAGTTGGAGAGGGCGGATGATGAGCGGTTGAAGGAGGAGGGGATGAGGAGGAGAGAGGAGCAGAGAGAAGGGGAGGATTAGGGAGGTAAGTGGGAGTGGGAGTGGGAAGGGGTGAAGTTATACACTACTACTAGGTCGAGTAGTATATAATGGGTCCATTAGATAGTAAGTACGCATTGTATCCTCGGGTGACTTTTCTTATTTCTCGTGTTGGTAATACTCTGCTACCGAGTAAGAAAAGCAAGACATCTTTGATAATACATTCATTTAAGTAGTAGTGTAAACTCCCGGAAGAAGCTGATATAAAGCAGGTCGTTGATCATCTCATCATCAAGCTAGTCCAATCCAATCTAGCTATGCTGCAGCAACATCAATTTAACCAATCAATCGATCATTCAATCATTCAATCTGCTGTATGGTTCTTTTAGACCAGCTGAATCAACAATGCCCGAAATACCCCGAGACGCCGAACGCATTAGAAATAAGAGAAGTGGGGATTTAAAATTCATCAATCACTAAGACTCGTTCCACAACCCAGTCAACAAAAGTTTGTCCCTCTATTCGCCATCGACCATCCCGCCACACCTCATCCACCCAATAGCTCATGCCCTTGCCCTGATGATGAAGACTCAACCCACCATTGCCGCGACGTTTACCCTCCGCCTTGGAGAAATCATTATTCACGCGAAGAGTCCCGATGCCCACACCGGCGGTGCCTTGACGAGCGTGCCATTCGCGTTCGGCTTTCTCGCCGGCACGACGCGCCACAGCTTCTTCGTCTTCGTCTTGGTAGAGCTCGCATTTGTTGCATTCCGTACAGCGCGAGCCGGGATCAATGCGGAAGTGCTCGCAGAAGTGCTTGTAGCCTTCCATTTCTTCGAATTCGTCGTCGTTGCCGGCTTCTAGTTCATCGTTGATGGCGTCTGGTCCGGCCGCGGGATCAACGTTCTCGACGAGGTTGGCGCGACGGCGTGGTCGAAGTCGTCCCAATCGGTTTGCGGACTTGATTGGAGGTCCAAGAGCCTTGCGGCAGAGGTAGCACATGGAGTAGCCGCAGACGCAGGTTAGCTTGTTACAGCCAGAAGACTTGACGAATGAGAGGCCGCAGCGCGGACAGGTGCGCTTCACAGCTGCAGTGCGAGCGGCCTCGACGGTGGCCCGCAGGTCGAGGAGGAGCGGCTCATGGCACACGTGAGGGTCACGCCATGGCTTCTGGCAGGTGATGCAGCTGACGCGACGGCAGGCAGGGTGCGCGCAGGTGAATTTTTTGGGTCGGGTTTTGAGGCAGAGGTTGAGAAGGGCGTTCTGAAAGATAGTAAAGACAGCAGAAGAGTTGACAAAATAAAGGATCGCTATAGGAATGATAAGTATGGGTATCAAGTCGAGTAAGAAGATGGTGATCAGAAGCGTGGAGATAAACCCGTCGCGCCGAAAGCGCCACACACGGCCTTGAGCAGACGGGTGGTAAACCGGATCAACTTCGGCATACGAACAAAAGGGACATCGAATGAGCTTCAGCTGGGACTTGAGCAGAACCTCGGAGGAAAGTCGCGTCTCGAATTTGGTAAATGTCTCAAGCCCGGCCTTGTCAAGCAAGATAGCCTGCTTGACGATCGCTGGGTCCAAGGTCCCAGGGCAGCTGTCGTGGTCGAACGGCGCCAGGCATTTCAACGTCGACTTTTCCACATCGACCGATTTACCCCAGCCCTGACCGAACAGAGCCTCGTGGATGGTTCGCCGGATGCAGCCATAGCAGATAATGTGCGTATTGTCCGAGCATGTTGAGATTTGCTCGAATGTCACATCATCCAAACAGCACTCGCACTCATACACAGCATCAGCCTCTTTGGCTTCCGTTTCGTTCAGCTCCTCCGCTAACTTCTGGTCTCTATCCAGCCTCTCTTCCCGTCTGGTTCGAAGCAGTGGTGCCAGCAGGGCTCGGTATAGCTCCCGGTCCAACTCCGGGCACTCCGTCTTTTTCAGCCGCGGGATCTCGTCACCATCTGGTTGACGCTGCCACACGATTAGCGGGTGCTCGTTCTTATCTTTACTGCGCTTGAACGAAGGAAGAATGCTGTTGAAGGTCGCACGCCAGGTTCTCCGGGAAAGATCTTGCAGAGTCGGACGGGCTCGCAAGTAACAGAAATTCACTTCTGCCAGCACTGCTTCCACCGTACTCTTACTCAGACCATTAAACTCCTTTGTGAGAGCCGCCTTCACGGCAGCCTTATATTCATTTGTCCGGAACAACTCCTCAGGCGGAACTGATTGATCGTGTCCGGTATGTCGTAGATCATTTTTGCCATCTTCTTCCGTTCCCCCAACCCCAGCTGGCACGTTCCACCGCCCGGCTACCCACGTCTCTTTGTGACGTAGCAACTGCTCGACGCAGACATGGAGACGGCTCTGCCCATCGAATCGGACCAGGAGTTCTCGGAAGACTTCGATGCGAATATCGGGAAAGATTCGAGCTAGGGTCTGCAGGGCCTGATTCAGCTCCTCCTGTTCTCGTTTCTGTTCCTCAGAGGTGGTATTCGAGGCGGCGAGGGAGCGTGAGCGTGAGGTTATTCCAAAAGGATTATTGCGGAGAGCCTCGCTGATGGTTGTGGAATTGCTGCTTTCACTGGCACGAAGCGCAGAGGAGGTGGTGGATCTAGAGAAGCTGGGGACAGATAGGGAGAGCACCATCGTTGCACTGACGGAGGGGCGCAAGACCGAGCTTGCTACATGATCGTCGGAGGGTAGACGGGAAGGCGTCTGGCCAGAAGGAAGGGTATCTGGCCGGCGAAGTTAATTCCGGCTTAGTGTCGGGAAGCCAGAGAGTGGAAGAAGATGGCGTGGGATGATGGGGGAAGGGAGAGGGGGAGGGGGAGGGAAAGATGATGGGGTGATCTGCTGGATGGAAGGATGGGAAGATGATGGGATGAGGGATGATGGAATGAATCAATGGGGGAAGTTGACTTCCGTTGACTTACTCCAGATGATCCAATCACGGGACTGGTACAATGCTCCACCCAACACTTTTGCCGAATATACTTCAGCTAATGATGTATAACTATGTATTGATAGCACAACAATGAGGCTATGCTGCATCCGAATTCTCCGCTCTTGACCTGACAGCATGAGGTTGATTACTGCCTGGTAAGATTGGTGTTGGCCCAACCAAATAAGAATATTTCAGGCCATACTGAACTAGGAGAATCATTCCTTCATCTACAAGGTACTTCAATTGACGCTTACTTACTACTTGGATAGCATTATCCTCGAATAATGTTCGGAAGGGGTTTAAATGTCCCTTTCTTCGCTCAATACTCATACTTAACCTTCAAAGTAAGCCTACATACATTCTTACTTGGATTTGTTATTATAAAGTATGGATGCCTGGTATCAGTACCTGCTGGTGTCTGATCCAGCCTACCATCCCGTACTCAATCAACGTAATACAACCCATCACAATAGCCAATCATTAGCATCATTCCCTCCCCATACATCATGGCCCATGGATACAAGGGCGTGCGACTTACACCGTTAATGGTCCCCGATTTCCACGATTGTAAAGTCAAAGAATCATCTTTCTTTACAAGATGGCAGCACTTACCCTCTCCAAAAGAAGTGCAGGCACAAGCCAAAGCCCAGCATCTGCGCTGGAGTGAATCCAGATCGAAGGAAAGACTTTTCCACCAACTCATATTTCAGGCAGCTACCTGTCCTGTTCTATTGAAGGATGAGTTGCATGCTTGTGTAGCTGATGCCATAGCAATGGGGTACGTGCATTTGCAAGACAGGCAGGCAAGGTCCAAAGGATACTACATGGAAGTGAAGAAGAGAACAAGTGCATAAAGTCACATTATGATAGCGAATGGCCTCTGCTAATCCAGCTAGATGAAGCCTGAAGCTCATGCAAGGGTTCTGGGCTTTCGAGCTGCAGAAGATGCGGAGTGTCGTAGAAACGCAGACTACAGTCTTTAATTCGACGGGGTTCTCTACTGACTAGTACTGAAGGACGGGACAAGCTTCTTTGCATAAGGTGAGTGCGTTCAGACTGACTGTTGTGGGTTGTTGGTATATCGCAGTCGAACCCAGAACAATCCACCCTCGTCACAGGGCTGCTTCCAGACCCCCACATCAACTACTGGGGTGCATACATTCACCATTTGGTCACTCAAAGTATGACTTAATTTGAACAGGAAAATCAATTCATGACGTTATGTACATACAGTCTGATAAATCACACCACTCCCCTGTTTTACAACTTGGCCTTGGCGCCTTCCAACAGCTCGGCTCCAGCCCCCGTAATGGCAGGCTTGCCTGTGTCTACCACCGTGGTCTGGAAGAGAACCACATTGCCCTCCTTCCACATCTCCGTCCGGAGGGTCTGGCCCGGCAGCACCACACCGGAGAAGCGGACCTTGAGGTTCTTGAAGGCACCATATGTGCTGAACACATGCTTGCCCGAGACACCCAGCGAGCAGAGGCCGTGCAGAATGGGGGTCTTAAAGCCACCCACCTTGCTGAACTCGGGGTCAATGTGCAGAGGGTTGCGGTCGCCGTTGAGGCGGTAGAGCGCGGCCTGGTCTTCCGAGGTCTTCTCCTCGACAACCGCATCGGGCTTGCGCTGAGGCGCCTTGTAGGACGCAACGGCGGCCTTGGGGCGGCGAGCAGTGGGCTTGGGCGATCCGCCAAAGCCGCCACTGCCACGGATGAAGACGGTCGACTCGTTGTAGAAGAGATCCTCGCCGGTCTTCGCGTCCTTGGTGGTATAGCCGGAGACGACGAGGGCGGCGTTGCCCTTGTCCACGACGTCGATGAGCTTGGGGTAGGTCAAAGTCTTGGCTGCGGTGGGAATGGGGAACTTGCGGATCTCCATGTACTGCTCGCCATGCAGCAACATCATCGGGGAGAAGTTGGCGACAATCTCGTCCATGTTCCAGGGGTTGGCGGTGTTGAACCAAGGGATCACACCGTATGTGGGCAAAGCCTGGAAGTGCTCGTTGTTCTCATACACCAGGGGAAGATCAGTGCGCTTAGCGCCGAGACTGAGGTTGTAGAGGATGACATCCCGATCCTCGTAGTCAAAGGACGTGCCATCGGTGGTGGCCTGCTTGGCCTTCTCGATGGCCTGCAGGATCTTGTTACCGCCCTCCGAGTCACCGCCGCTGCGGTTGCTCATGTTGGCCATGATCTTCTCCGAACCGGCCTGGCCATCTTCGGGGTGGTCCGCACGGCCATCGTCGAAGTTGGTGATCTTCTTCCAGTTCTTGAGCACTTCCTCAGGGGTAAGCTTAACGTCGACAGGGAATCCATGACCGCCGGTACGCTGCCAGCGAGTGCGGCCGAACCAGCCGCTGCCACACTCGTACAGACCCTTTGTGCTGGGCTCAGGCACAATGTCCGAGCAAAGAAGAGCCACCAAGGGAGCAACGTAGTCAGGCTTGAACGCCTGGACCATCTCCTCGGGCATGATGGTACGGGTCATGTTGGTACCAGCATTGGGGGCAATGGTGTTGACCTTGATGTTGTACTTAGCACCCTCGAGAGCAAGAGTGCGAGAGAATCCAAGAATTCCGAGTTTCTAATAGACAGTTAGCGAAAGTCATTACGCAAATCAGCATTGGCTGAAACATACCGCGGCAGCATAGTTGGCCTGTCCAAAGTTTCCGTAGATACCGCTGGTGCTGGCCGTGTTGACAATACGACCATACTTCTGCTTGAGCATGTAAGGCCAGGCAGCCTTGGTCACCTTGTAGGTGCCGCGCAGGTGGACGTTGAGGACAGGGTTCCACAAGTCGTCGTTCATGTTTGTGAAAGCCTTGTCGCGCAAAATACCGGCGTTGTTGATCAGGATATCAATACGGCCGAAGGCATCGATAGCGGTCTTGACGACATTCTCGCCATCTTCGCAGGATGCCTTGTTGCCAACAGCCTGGCCGCCCATCTTCTTGATCTCCTGGACCACGGGCTCGGGGTCAACGAGATCGTTCACAACGACAGAAGCGCCATACTTGGCAAAGAGCAGACAGTAGGCACGACCAAGACTATAATAGCGTTAGAACCGATAAATCGCTATCACTTAGCTGCGGCGTTACATACCCATTGCCACCACCAGTGACCAGAGCAACCTTGCCCTTGAAGTTGGGCTCCTCACCCGCTTGGGCGCTGGGCAACTTCAAGCCATCCTCCAGAAGACCCATAAAGTCGGCAGGCCCGGTGGGGTAGTCAGGCTGAGAGAAGTCGTTGACATCGTTCCACTTCCGAGCAATAGCACCGGGAGTCAGGGAAGCATCGGTCTTCAGAAGAGCACCCTTGGCACGTTCCCAGCGCAGCTTGGCGACATGTCCACCACCGACTTCGTAGATTCCACCAGTCTCAGTAGTGTTGGATGAGTGGACCAAAGCAGCCACCAACGGGACGACCCAGTCGGGCTTGAGGTTCTCCAAAACCTCGGGGGGCATGACCGTGGCCGTCATGCGGCTAGCAGCTGTTTCAATTAGTCACTGCATGTTCCAGAGAAGCCGAATCAACGTACCAATTGGCGCGATGACGTTCGCAATGATGTTGTACTTGGCACCTTCCTTCGCCAGCGTCTCAGTGAAGCCGACCTGTCCAAGTTTGGCAGCTTATAGAGTCAGCTACGCAGCTTCTAAACTCCGAACACACCCCGAAGCTTACCAGAGTAGTTTGCCTGGCCGAAGCTACCGAAGAGACCAGCCGATGAAGCAGTGTTGATGATGCGGCCATACTTTTGTTTCCGGAAGTGAGGCCATGCGGCTCTTGCGCACTGTAGACAAAGCCTCGCGTCAGCAACCACCTGAAGGCAAAGGCGAGAGCTCCCAGCCTACCTTGTATGCGCCATATGTGTGCACTCTGTAGATAAGGTCCCAGTCCTGGTCTTTCATGTTCTTGAAGCTGATATCCCGGAGGATACCGGCGTTGTTGAGGAGGACATCGATGCGGCCAAAGTTCTTGATGGCGGTTTCAATGATGGCTTCGCCGTTCTCGACACTGTCGTAGTTTGCTACCGCCTTACCGCCAGCAGCTCTGATTTCTTCGACAACCACATCGGCAGCCTAGGGTAGACACTCGGAGTCAGCGGGGTTCAACAAAGGGCGTTGGGAAAGGTCCGTGTGACCATAGATAACATACCTTGGCCGACTTGCCCTCGCCAGAATGGGAACCACCCAGGTCGTTGACAACGACATTTGCACCCCTTGAAGCAAAGAAGAGAGCATATGCCTTACCCAGGCCACCACCAGCACCGGTGACAACCACGGTCTGGTTGTCGAAGCGCAGCTCAGACATGTTGAATAATCAATGTGAGGAGGAAAGGAGGGGAGGTGGAGAGATGGGGAGATTAGAGGGAGAGGACGGAAATGCGAAATGAGGAGATGAGACGGGGTATTATATGAATGTTAGTTGAAGAGGAGAGGAGAAGCTTAAGGGGATTTGTCTGGGGGAGGGAAGAGATGAAGAATCCGGGGGAAGAGGACGGTCGCAATGCTCGGCAAGCTGGACCAGGGAACCTCGGCATCTTTTGCAGGTGAAGCTCGGAGGTTTGTTCGTTTGGCGCTAAACCGATCGGGGGTGGCAGATGATGCTGCCTTCACATGCCGATGTCCACATCCATGATTTAGTCCGCGCTGGATGATTAGTATGCACACTACCAATTAATGAAGCAAGGAGTCCCTCCCATGGTTATTCATTCTACAAAATCGGTGTACTGTTGCTTTCAACTTCCCAACTTCCACTCGGGTTCCAAGATACTCCGGGACTACCGTCCTGGTTCGGTGACACCTTTCTTTTGTCTATCCATATGCGACTAGTTTACGGACTACCAACATGTTCTCCGTAAGGTCCAATTAGACTTGTCAAAGTCAACAGCACCTAAAACGCAAAAGAATGACCTAGATCGACAACTCTAGTCGACGCTCCATGATCATGTCTGCCACCAACATCATCAACTTCCTGCTGACTCAGACATGTGATTCTCAGCCAACGTCATGCCACGTGCCGCTACTCCCTTTATCCTTTTCACATTATTATCAAAGTCCATCACATCCATAAATGTCAGATACCCATTCCTGAGGCATATAGCAAACTCTTCATGTACTAGAATTGGCGCATTGTGCCCATAGAGATGCCGGCCAATCCTTCAGGCAATACATTTGTCCTCCGCAGATTCTCCCGCTCGGATCACCTCCGAAGCTTAGTCTATATTAGCAGTATATATCATTGTAGCCAACGACAACAGGATATATTACTTACACATGGACCAAATCTATCACACTTCCCCATAAAACCACATAATAAGATACAATCTCTCACAATGCCCGAAATTATCGACGACAAATCCCAACACTGCATCCCCTTCCTTTTCGACCGACTCCAAGCCCACCAAGCCCGCCATCCCACCAACACCCCGCCTTTCTTCCTCGGTCTAAATGGCGTCCAAGGTGCCGGTAAAACAGTTTTGGTAAAACACTTCCCATTGAACCTTGACCACTATCTATTTTAAAATCAGGTCGATTTACTAACAATTGACGGAATGGAAAAAAGGTCTCAACCCTCCAATCCACCCTCCGCTCTCCACCCTACTCCCTAAACGTGGTAACCCTCTCTCTCGACGACCTGTACCTCACGCACGCGCAACAAGAACACCTCGCCGCCTCGCACCCCACGAACCCGCTCCTCCAGCACCGCGGACAACCCGGCACCCATGACCTGACACTAGCGAAGGAAGTGTTCTCGGCGTTACGCGCGGGCCAGCGCACCGCTATCCCGGCGTACGACAAGTCGGCGTTTTCAGGACAGGGCGATCGCGTGCCTGCGTCTCAGTGGGAGGTGGTGAATAAGGAGGGTGAGGAGAAGGTGAAGGTGGTGATTTTCGAGGGGTGGTGTGTTGGGTTTCGTGCGTGGGATGAGGAGGTGCTTAGGGGGAAGTGGGAGGATGCGGTTAGGTTGAGGGAAGCTGCTACTGCTGGTCAGGGTGAGTATAAGGGAAGATTGGGGTATGTAGGGCTTGAGGATGTGAGGACGGTTAATGAGGCGTTGAGGGGGTATGATGTGATTACTGAGTAAGTTTTCTCTAGTTCTGGTGGGAGGATTGGGGCTAATGATGATGGTAATTGCAGTCAGTTGGATGCGCTGATCCATATGTGAGTGATTCCTGCCAGTTCTCTAGTGTATTATTCCAAGATGCTCATTGATTGCTTGTACAGTGATGCGCAAGACCTTCATTTCGTCTACGATTGGCGACAGGAGCAAGAGAGGACCCTTCGCGCTGCCAAGGGGACTGGCATGACGGAGGAACAGGTCACTAAGTTTGTTGATGGCTGTGAGTATTGTTCTTTGGTCCAACAGTTCTATCCAAAGTACTGACAAAGGTACAGATTATCCGTCTTATGAACTCTTCACTGAGACTCTCCGGGAGGGTACGTTCAAGCCTGTCCCTCATGCTACTACGGCATCTGCTCCGCCAACAGGCTGGGAAGGAAGACAGCTTCGGTTGGTTGTGGACAAGAATAGGAGAGTGCAGGAGATTATCAACATTTAAATGCCGGTGATTATCTGCCGCTTTCTTGATGGTTGTGTGGCAGAGGTTGGTATATTTTTGGATTGCACGGATGCATTTGCAATCCATTGAAGCGTTGTCGCTTCGACAAAATAGAAAGAAGGTCTTGAGGAACTGAGAAAATAGAGAATATAGAAAGAAGAAAATTAAGGATATCCTTATCGGATAAATCATAGACGCCGTGATACGTGGTTAAGGAGATATGTTCAGGTTTTATTACAATGCTTTGTTGCCGTTCTCTGTTATCGGTGGGATATATACTTATTGCAAGTAGTAACATACCATCGGACTACTATCATATTACTCACCCATGCTATAAGACGATGTAGAAAATTTACAACCAACTACAGAAAAGAACCACAAGAGAATACAAACCAGGATAGTAATCAAAAGAACGTCCCAACTCCAACCCGATAATAACATATATCGTACACTCACTGGCTAGCGACCATTTTCTGCCGCCCTGCTTGAAGGCGGTAGAAAAACGTACAGAATGCTGGCTCAGTTTCTCGGGCCTTGTACGAAAAATATATCCGCTTATAGCCGCCTATATCCGCACTTTTCTCTGCGAGGTCGATTGGATTCTGCCGCTTTTAGCGGTCAGGGAAGCGGTCAGAGATGGCAGTAGCTTGCTAGCTCTGGTGAAAATACTACGTAGTACAAAGTGGTATAGATATTAGAGGCTTCCTATGGTGAGAATAATCGAGTCAGGGGATACTACAGGTGTAGTGTGGGATCGGGAAAAGAACTGCGAAGACTACAGGTAGAGATACAACTACGTTCCATTTACGAAGGAATAGATAGTCAGGTTGTACGAAGCTTTTAAATTTTTGTACCCAGATTTTAGACCAGTACCCGCTAACTAGGAAATTCGGAGCTCATAACAACCCGGTACGGACAAGCCATCACCGATGATGAATCTAGTTCATCTGGCGGATGAGGCCGTTGATGTTCTCCTCACGGTTACCGTAGTCACCACCCTCGATGAAGTGCTTGAACTTGCGGGTGTGGAAGCCACCAGTGGGGTTGGAGAGCTTGAAGGGCCACAGGAAGTTGTTGGCCTGCTTGAAGTTGGGGCCAACGGTGTAGATCTCGTGGATAAGATCCTCCATGCAGACAATGCCGTACTTGCCGAGGTTCTCCTCAATGATCTGGTTGTCGGTGAGGGGAACACGCTGCTTGTCGACCTTTCCGTAACCGCGCTTGTAGACGAGCTCACGGACGGACTTGAGGTTGGGGTAACCGTAGGCAATGTAGGGGTTGATGATGGTCAACATCTCCTGGGTAGCCTTGGTAAGACGGACGAAGGTACCGTTGTTGATCTGGAGCAGACGGAGCAGCTGGAGGATCTTGCGGGGCTGGGGAGGGATCTTGTTGATACTATCAAGTTGTTAATATCATGACATTCATATGGCATGCTAGATTAACTTACCCCTTGATACGGATAACGAAGACAAGCTTGGGCTCGTCAGCAACGTAGAAGTTACCCTCCTTGCGAGCAACGCGGGCAAGGCGGATCTTCTCGCGCTCAGCATCGCGGTACTCCTTGACGTAGGACTCGGCACGCTTGAAGATAACGGCGCGCTTCTCCTTGTTGGCCTGGATTCATCTGTTAGCAGATGGTCTTTGCAAATGACTCGTGAAATGAAATCATTTGAAGCTTCATTTTCAGCCCCGAAAGATGGTTAACGAAGCGACAGCATCGACCGTAGTCTAGTCGCGTGGTGGTTGTTGTCATCACTATAGAAGGAAGAGGGAAAGAGGATATATAAAAAAAAGGTATAACTTACGGCCTTCTTCTTCTCGGCCTCCTCACGGGCGACAGCGCGAGCCTGCTCCTGGCTCTTGCGCTTCTTCAGGAGGGTCTCGGGGACGAGAACCTGCTCCTTGGTGGGGACAGTGCTGTTAAGGTCAGTACAGTCTGTCCGTAATGATTACACAGACTTTCGCCGAGTGTAAGAATTGCAGCTATAGTGCCACATTCTCATACTGAAGGCAATGGATAAAAAAGCACTCGACGACATGCATTTGATCGGTGAGGTAGAAGAAAAAATTTTCTTCTTCACTTGTCGAGCCCGCGCGAACCAGCTCACTACTAGTCACGCATTCTCAGCAGCAACGTTCGCAAGCCCGCGGCGACTACGACCAAGTATGATAATTCTCATCCGACAAAACCCCAAGCATAACGCTCGGGAAGTGGTGTTGACGCTTTTCGCCCCTACCATGCCCTATCACGGCGCAATGGTACATGACGATAGCTCACAACAATTGTTTTCAAGGAGAAGGTTCACAGTGCCTTCAACCTCAATACCCCAGACCGTGCCGCACCCAATCCTCATATTCCTAACAAAGTCTTAGGCGATTCAAGGGCGAAGCGCGGTCGCGGGAAAAATCGAGCTGGTGCTCAGCAACCGTTTCTGGTCGCAGCATCTCCAGCGAGAAAGGACGACTATATCTGTAACCTCACAGGCACCTCGAGCGATCAGCCGCAGGGGAATCTCAAAGGGAGTCTCACGTAGCAGTGGAGGCCATTGTGACGGTCCGTAGAGTTCGCGAGTTGGGCGATTGGCGAAGGCTGTCGTACTGGAAGAAGATCAAGAGAAAGAAAAAAGCCGCTGCGAATCGAGAAAAATGGGTTGTGTGGGTGGATACCCCCGCTAAGCCGCATACGGCTAGCCACCTTGGCCGGCCCATTTGTTCCTTTTGGGAATCTCCAAGCCCTTATCGTATTCAGGGTATTTGCTGGTCAGCTGACCGGAGCTGATAAGGACCCAGTGGCAGTATGACAGCATCTATCTAGCGCTCTCGTAGTTACCCCACGCGCTCCGATAATCGAACCCTCTGCCAGAGCAGACAGCTGATCGCCATGGCTACTCGTCGAGGAGTTGGACTTGGCGCCTTCGCCAATCGCACTCAAGCCAGCCAGTCATTTGCGAATCATGGCGCCAATCTACGCTCCTCGCATCTCTCCTCTTTACAGACGCAACTGTCCGTATTCCAGTCATTACTCCACACCTTCGCGCTGGAACACAGCTCAACGATCAAATCGAACCCGACGTTTCGAGCAGAGTTCGCTCGTATGTGCAATGCTATCGGAGTCGATCCCCTCGCAGCCAGCAATGTCAAAGGCAAGAATGCGCGCAAAGGGTTGGGGGAGATCGGGAGTTTCTGGACGCAGATCATGGGTGGAGACATGAACGACTTCTACTTTGAAGTAGCTGTTAGAGTGGTGGAACTTTGTCGAGCTACCAGAAGCGAGAACGGCGGGTTAATCGGTGTTGAGGAATGTCGGAAACGAGTAGGCAAGGGGAAGGCTATTGGTAGTGGACTGGAGGTTACAGAGTACGTACTTACTCTTTGCTCCATCTTGTGATTATTGATACAGTATACTAATCTGAGCTACCTTCTGCGACATGCAGTGATGACGTTCTCCGAGCTGTCAAGAGTCTGGAACCGCTTGGCTCTGGGTTCTCCATTGTACATGTCGGCAGCAAGCAATATATTCGATCGATTCCCAAAGAGCTAAACACGGACCAGGCTACTGTGCTCGAGGCAATTCAGGTTCTTGGCTACGTGAGCATCTCTATGCTTCAAGCGAATTTGAATTGGGAGAAGGCTCGGGCACAGACTGTCATTGATGATCTGCTGGCGGATGGCCTTGTCTGGCTAGATGCCCAAGCGGAGGAAAATGAGTATTGGTCACCTCAAAATCTGCTAGATGACAGTGGGTGAGTATATTTTGTCGAAGGCTACTATTGTCTGGTATCATAGTATATCCAGTGACACCTGAGGTGTTGGGACTGGCGCAAGTGTCCAGCGGGTACTGGATGCATGGGGATATATAATCATTGCTCTTGTCCGGGGACATCTCGAGACTGGACAGGGCATGCAGAGTCCAAGATGCAGTGGCTTAGTTTATCCCGAGGCTGCTATGGAATCCCTCCCGGTCATGTCATATATATCTTCCTCAAGTCTGTTGAGAATCGTGCCAGATTGATGGTCAGCATCAGGGTCCTGGAACGACCTTCCTAGCTTATGGTTGAACTACTGGGAAATGCTGGTTTAGAGCGTCTACGACCTGTACATTTTTGAAGCGTTAGCGTGCATTGATTTTCATCCTTCCATATACAATCTAGACTTTTCAGGCTCTTTATGTCCATCGTTCATTCCAAACGTGATATTCATCTGCGGAGAGTAAAAATACGGTATGCATGACAGTAGGAGAACTCTAAGAAGAAAGGGCTAGAGTGGCCCAACGGAAGAAAAAAGGGAAAAGAAAAAAGGAACCATGATGGGTAAGAGCACACATGGAATCATACGCAGTTAAATTCCAAGAAAAGGGAGCATTAGAACCATGAAAAGAAATCAATGCCATTAGAAATCATTTTTATGCCTTGATCGCCCCGCCCAATGCACCACCGCTAAACTGCTGTCCACCAGGCCGACGACCTTGTTGGCCACCAGGGAATCTGGGACCACCACGGGCTTGGCCACCACCTCGAGGACCACGGCCACCACGGGCGCCGGCGCCCTGATCGCGCTGGAAGGCGTTGGCCATGCCTTGCGTACGCTGCTCGAGAGTCTTTTCGTTGGACTCCAGAAGGTTCATCGACTTGTCGGCGAGGGTGACGATCTGGGACTGGAGACGCGACAACTCGACACCCTTGCGGAAGACAATGGCATCGTTGACCTGGTCGAGAGCAGCGGCCAATTCCTCGTGAGAGATCATACGGCTGATGATAGCGGCGATCTTCTTCTCGGGGAGCTCGAACATGGTAGCCAGGGTGGAGATGGAGAGGCTGTCGTAGAAGGGGGCGTAGGTGAAGAGGTAGGTGCGGAGACCCTCCTCCTGGATCTGCTGGGACAGCATCTCCTTGACCTTGTCGGGCTGGGGCATCAGATCCCAGATCTTGATCGAGTTGAGCATCTCAGCGGCCTTCTTCCAGTCTCCGGCGGCGAGGAACTTGGCACTCATGATGACACCGTCACGGGTGTTCTCAGCAGGACCAGTGAAGACCTGGCGCTCGTTGTAGTCCAGCATACGACGGAAGGTCTTGGAGATGACACGACGCTTCATCTCGGGGGAGGAAGAAGTCTGAGCCATCAGAGGGACCTCCAGGAACATGCTCGACGTCAGGTAGATGCACTCGAGAAGCTCCAGGTTGATGTGCATGTGGAAGGGCAGCTGACGCTGACGCTCCAGACGCTCCTGTTCCGGCGAGACGGTGGAGTAGCGCTGGAGGATGATGCCCTGAGCCAACAGCTCTTTCTGACGTCCACTGCCGCAGACCTCAGAGAGGGTGGTCTGAGCCTCGTAGATCAGGCCGGCCCGGAAGGCACACAGACCGATCTGAACAAGGGTGCGGTTGAAGAGGATCTGGGTGGAAACGTCGAAGTTGGCGATGTTCTCGGTAAGGTGGGACATGAGCATCAGGTCACGAGAGCGGTAGTACTGGTCGTGCAGAGCAAGGAAGTAGATCTGGCACAGCATCGCACGAGCACGGATGATACCGTCGCTGTGCTTGAACAGGTAGCTGCAAAGGGTCTGCACAAGGTTGGTCACATCTCCCGTGTTGCCACGGGGAGTGACGTTGGATTCCAATTCGGAGGGAAGGACCTTCCAGGTACCTTCCTCCAGGATCGTGACGACCTGAGAGGGCTTGAAGTAGATGTGCTCCAGTCTCCTCATGACCACGCGGTTAAGGCTGTCCTGACGGGGATCGGTCTTCTCGGACTGAGTAAGACCCTCGACGTAGACCTGGGTGCGCACAAGGTTGGCGTACAGCTGCTTCTCATCACCCAGACGGTCGATGTACTCGGCAGTGTGGGGGTCAATGTGCTGCAGGGAACGGGTGAGACTCATCATCCAGTGCTNCTCGACATACGAGNACAGATGCTGCCGGGG